AAACCATCAATGTTCCAAAGTGATTTCATTATGCAAAATTAAAAACCAGGGAAATCAGTGATTATATTAAGGTTATTCATCATAAATGTTATAATAAACAAATTATGTTAGTGCATGGATAACACAGTAAGTAGACTGTGTATTATTTGCAATTATACTGTTATAAAGGCTAAAATAATCAAATTATTAGTGCATGGATACTATCTTGAATATCTATTACTTGTAATTTTGCTGCCTATTCAAATAATCTTTGATTTAAAAATTTGAATAAAAATACATCTAATAGCATTAACAAATAGTGACAATTATTATTAGAAATAGTGACTATTACACTGTAACTGACTTTATGATTAGACAAAAGGAATTTCACAAAACAAAATTACCGCTGTTAACTGCTCTCCTGCAAACTGGGATGCCAAAAGATATTTTCAAGTAATAGTTTGCTATTTTAAAGGCGTAAAAGGCTAAATAAGTGGAGGACAAATGTTATTGTAACAAATATACTACATTTTTATACTTAGGAGAACCAAACTGGAAATTAGCCAAACTCCAAGTTAGTATTTGCTATGACAATAAAAATACTAAATTTAACAAATTTTATTACTACACTCAAGACTGATGTTTCAAAATCCAGCATACGTTCAATGTCTCTATAAAACAAGGAAAAGGAGTTTTCAGTTAAATTTAAAACAATTCAGAAAACTATGTACTGAATATCAAGGGGGACATTAAAGAAATTTGGCATAATCTCTGGCTTCAAAGAGTTTAATATGCAGAATCTAATGGGAAAAGTTTTTAAACATATGAAAAAACTAAATGACAATAACAAGACAATAAATACTATAGGAGATTACAGTAAGGAGACTAAACAAGAACCCTAAGGTTCTCTTCAGTTCTAAAATTCTGCAGGGCCTACTTAAGGTGACAGTGAAGAGGAGGTAGGATTTGGCTAGACAGAGAACATTCCATTCAGGAAGAACATCACAGCAAAGTTACTTAGATGAAAAACAGGTCAGGGATGATAAGGAGACCAATCTGACCAGAGTACATTAGACATGAGTACAAGATAAAATTGATTAGGTATTTTTTCCCTATATTTTACACACACACACACACACACACACACACACACACACACACACAAAGAAATTACAGGATTATGAAAAGAAGATGAACTATTCGCCTGCTTATAGGAAACCCTCTGATCTACTGGGATCTATTCTCAGATTGTCAATTTTAAATTCAATTATCTTTGTTCTATTTTATTTATAAAGGAGTGTTTTTTAAGGACACAGTTTGCCACATCCTAGTTTCCATCTCTTAGATTCCCTCTGTGTGACTGTGTGTTCTATAGCATTTGAATCTCATGATTTGTATATGAGAAACCATTCAGCTATGTGCACTGTTCTGATGCCAGGGTGATAGGAGAGAGGGGGAAGGTGAGGAGGAAAGGGAGAAAGAGAAGAAGGAGGAGGGTGGGAGAGAGAAGGAAGGAAGGGAAGGGGAAGAAGGAAGAAAAGAAAGGAAAAGAAGGAAGGAAGGAAGGAAGGAAGGAAAGAAGGAAGGAAAGGAAGGAAGGAAAGAAGGAAGGAAGGAAGGAAGGAAGGAAGGAAAGAAGGAAGGAAGGAAGGAAGGAGGGAGACAAATAGCCAGAATAATAATACACTGATAATTTTGAAATGTTGTGGGGAAATGTCAAAAGCCTCAAACACATGACCCCTTGTGGTGAAATGTTGTGAGGACATGGGAAAAAGTCACACAGAATGGGTTCTGATCTGTATCAACGGATGGAACTCCAGAACTGATGATACATTTAAGCGTTCAAGATTTCATATGCATTTTAAAATTAATTATATTTGTTCAGCTGTGCTGTATAAATGACCTTTTGCATATTTACCAAGTGGTCTGGTTTTGCTTCCTCATTTAGCAAAAAAATATATTTGGCATTCACACATTAAAAAAAAACACTTAGCCAATACTCTTGCCAATTTTATCCACACCTACAGTCTCTCAGTTGCAAAACACTGCAATATGGAGGACCAAAGATAAGTACAATACAAAACACTCTCAAAAACATGCCCCTTCTTTCTAAGCTCCAACTCATTCCTGGCTAACAGTTTGGAACTCAGAACAAGGGAGGAAAAGGAATAAATGGCTAAAAGCAGATTAGCAAAAGGAAAATAAGACTCTCAACCTTTTAAGAGAAAGCTGACAACTGGAGAAAACCTAACTTCCCTATATTCACTTAACAATACGAACCTTTGTATCTAGTGTCTATTTAGAGCACTGTGCTAAGAGAAATACAAAGTGTAGATAACATAACAGTTCTGACTCTTCTGGAGTTTATACTCTAGCAAAAAGTCTTGAATACAGATAATTTTGAACGAAAGCATTTCTTCTCATTTCCATGAGAATACTTTATTCATTCATTCAAGAAATATCAAAGTACAATATACATAGGTCTATGACACAGACAGCCTAGTGTAGTGACAAGTTAGGAGAAATCAAGATCAAAATCCTGCCTCAGGACTTCCTAGCTATATGACCAAAGGCAAGTTACTTAGCATATTGGGGACTCAGTTTCCTCACTTACAAAATGGGAATGATAAGCTTAGAATCCCTAACTCACGGCACTGTGAGAATAAAATAATGTAATGCACTTTGTAAACTTTAAAACACCCTATAAATGTCAACTAGCGTTACCAGCTTTACTCAGTTGAATCTGCAATCTTGTGTAGCTGGATGTTCCGTCCAATGATGCAAGGTGCTTCATTCACATCTGCCTATCTTGCACAACTCCTGCCCAATTCCTCTCATAAGTTCTATATAATTTCCTTCTAACACTTAAAAGATAGCAATGGAGAACCTGGACTGTCATTCCATAATTCCCAGGACCCATCTTTTTTGTTCACAAATTTCCCATTTGAATGAACAAAAGATGAGCACTGTTATTCCATAAAAATCTGAAGGCCCTTCCCTTTTATAAGAACTTATGTTACAATAAATAAATTTCTGAAATTCAAGTCATTATTTTCATCTTTTGACTACTATTAATAATACTTTCTGGTGAATAAATTAATAGTAATAGGTTATATTATCTGTAAACTAAAAATATTCATTTTATGATTAGCAGGTTCATATATTTGGAATTGGTAGGGGCCTCAGAGGTCATCTAGTTCAACTCCTTCATTTGACATTTGAGGAAATAGAGGATTGGGGGTGCGGGTGGGGTGAGGCTTACCCACGGTCAAAGAGGGAGAGAATAGTTGTAAAACATCAAAGGTAACATGGGAACTCAGCTCCTCCAACTGCAAAAGCCAATGTTATTTCCACTATACTATAATGCCTATGCTTCACATTTTCTGTCTAGATTTGTGACATCATTGGAGTAAGGAATTCCTATGAAGAAACTGCCTCCACCCATGCAGAAAGGCAAACTTTCTACCATTTATAATTTTAGAGAAATGCCTGGGGCACTGAAAGATTAAACGACTTTCCAGGAATAAGCCACTATGTGTCACAGGTAGGATTTGAAGTAAGGTCTTTCTGACTGAGGCTGGCCCTTTATCAAGCATGGTATGGTAGAACTTCACTTAAAACCACTCATTTTTCTAAACATATCTGGAATCTTAAGGTAAAATTCTAATTTTCCTAAATTTTCTAAAATTTTCATGAATGTAATGTGGGTAAATTGGAGCCAGAGGACTAAATGCTCTATAACTTATTTTATAAAGTAATATTCCCCAAAGCTCTGCCTATGGACTACTGATAAACATTTCTGTGGCCTTCACCACATCCCTTCATTATTCTCCTAACTCTGAGTTAAACATTCAGTTACTGGATCTAGGGACTAGATATAGGCTACATGAAAAGGAAAAAAATAGAAAAAGGAAAAGAGTTAAGGTTGGCAATAATTGTGTTTCAACTCCAAATGCGACAGTTTATACTGAGATAGAAAGTAAACCTAGGTAACTCAATTTTATTTTACATACTTATTTATTCATGGGCTCTAGTAAAATTCTACTAAGACCACTCCCTGGAGCTCAAATAGAAAAAAAACTAAGGAATAATCCATATAATTTTTTCCCAATATAAACTTAGTGTTACTTTTTTAACTCTAATAACATACTCTAACAATGCCCACACACAATAGCTGAGATGTGATGGCAAGACTACAGATCTGTTGATAGTTCCAATGAAATTACTCTAAAATTTTCTTAGTATAGAAAAGATATGTTATTGCTTTCTTTATATTCCATTGAAAAATAATTTTATCATCATCTCATGATAAAACTGGGGATATTACTGAGATTATGAAAGAATATAACTTTTGACTGACACTATCCTTCCCCAGAGATTCTCCTTCTTAATTTACAATTCAGTTTCATGTTTGAATTTTCTTATAAAAATTAAAAAGCTGTTTTTAATTCCTTCCCACAGGCCAGATTTTCTAGGTTTCATAATAAATCCAGAGTTTCCAACTAAATGTTCTTTAGTTGAATGACTTTGATGCTTATTTTTCTTTCTAGAAGAAGTCTCAAAATGGGATATCTTAGTTTATGATTTTAGCAGGAAAAAAAAATAAGAGTTCTGGTTCATAATTCAGAAGATACAGGATATATACAATAGGAAGAATTTTACTGAGGCAAAAATGCCAGGAAAATAGCTACTACACTTGAAAAGCTTCTAATGTACCATATTTCAATCAAGATTTGATTTATAAAGAATTGAGATAATACATTACTTGCCAACTTACCTCCTGGATCTTAACTGGCTTCTGTATAATGCACCAAAATTCCAGACTGTAACCTTAATGCAAAAATGTTCATAGGAGAGGACCAAAATATATATGAAAAGATCTATTATTCTACTCTCTTCATTCAAATCTACTTCTCTTAAGAATTTACAGTTTTCACAAAAGTATTTAATTCCATTAACACACTTGCAATCTTCGGAAAAAAACAGCCCAAAGTGAAGTATATGAAGCATGTAGAAATTACCTTTAGGAAAAATCTTTTATCTGTTCTTGTTGGATTGTATGAAGCCAAGTATGCAGCAATTAGAATAAATTTGGAGTAATATGGAAGTTCTACGTGAGCATGTGCAGAAAGACCTATGGAAAATATTTTTATACAGCTCATTAATATTAAACACTGACATAGCACTTTGCAGCAAATAAAGTCTTTTTCTTACCACAACCCTGTGCGTTTGGTAGTACAAGTGTCAGAATCACTGACTCAGATATGGAAAGGTCTTGGAAGTCAATTTACCCAACTTACACATGAGCAAGAACCTTTAAAGACTGGTAATATAGTTCTTGTTTGAAGACCTTCAACAATAGAGAATCTAATACCTCTCTAAAAAGCCCACACCAGTTTTGGATAACTATTGGGAGTTCTTCCCCTCTCTGCATCCACTGATTTTAGTGCTACCATCTAGGGCCCAGTAAAATATATCTACTCTCTCATTGTTCATTGTTCCAACTCTTCATATGGCTACACAGCTATCATTCTCCCTCTAAGCCTTTTCTTCCCTAGGCTAAAGAACTCCAATTTCTTCAATGAAATGCATGGATGGCATGGTTTAAAGTCTTTTTTTATTATCTTAGTGAATTTAATCTAACATTATGTTTTGAGTATCTGTTTCAAAACACACATTTTTGGAAGGTAGCACCAATCTCCATAATCAATTTTGTAGCTAATAAGGAATTTTAAATGAAACTAGAATTCCACAGGGGAAGGGAAGAGCTGGAACAGGGGCAGTGTGGTAGAGTGGGTGCAGAGCTGGCCCTCACACTTAGAAATATCTGAGTTTAAGTCCAGCCTCTGACACACATTGGTCATTGGGCAAGTCACTTGAAACTCTCAGCGCTCTACACAGCTTTCTAAGAACTACAAATAAACAGCAGAGAAGGTGACAACATGTACTGGTAGAGGGAGTTTGATCATCTCAAACTTCCGCAGGCCTGTGAAATCCTAGGTTCAGGGTTTTTACCTTTGGCAAGGTAAAGTTTTTCTTGGAAGGATAATAACTATGTAAGAAAAAAAACATAAAAAATTCTTTTCATTTAAAAATATTACTCCTGTTTAAATCAATTAAGATCTGAGTTTCATTTAAAAAAAATTTATGAAAAAAAAAAAGTCAAGTTAGGTTAGGACCCCGGTTACTATCACAAAACTGTGGATTTTGAAGGGGAGGAAAGTCATGCTTTTTTTTTTTTAATTTTTGCTCCACAGTACTGTAACTCACTAAATTTTTGGATAAAACTGAATAAAAATTGAAAAAATTTTCATTTTTTACAAATACTCATGAAATGTGTTCTGTTTAGCCTATGACCTGACTATGAAAATGATAATGTAGAAAATATTTTTCTACTCATACTGAATTCTTGATCACATGATTAATCTTAACATATTTAATTCTTAAAAGAAATTTGATTTTTTTTAAAAAAGAAAGTATTATTTTAAGTGCATTATTGCCTATTTTCACTAGCGACAGCTATTTGTTTTCTTTAGGGTAGCTAGATGAAGCAAAGTAAACTGGAATATATACAATATTGTATTCTGAATCATCACTGTAGAAAAACAACTCTGCTCTGACACTTATTTTTATGAATGCGTTTTCAATTAGCCAACATATATTACCTACTTTTCTTCAAGTTAAATATGGATGTCAGTCAGTCAACCAGTATTTATTAAGTGCCTATTATGTGCACTTAATAGAAAAGCAAAAAAGAATTCTTGCTCTCAATGAACTCACAGTCTAATGAGGGAGATAATATACAAACAATTATGTACCACAAAATATATACAAGAAGGTACTAGCATTAAAAGGGTTCGGGGATAAGGGCTATTCCTCTCATAGATGGTAATTTCCAAAGGGTCTGGACTGCCAATAGTATTTTTAAAGAAAGAGGTGAAAATATATGTTTAAAATACACAGTAAACTGAAAACACTTTCAGGTATAATAAAATAAGATTTTAGGCAATACTGACTTTGTACTTCTTAGTGTCAATGAAAACTAGCAGAAATGTCCTCAGGCTACATATAATACCTAAACAGTGTGTTCAATTTATAACTCGGTTAAATTAAAGAGGGCAAATCCAGATGAGTATATTTCCTACCCAGATGCTAACTTTAGCCCTAGCTGGTAAAGCCTGTATGTCCTGCTGACATGTAAAAATAGCACTATGAAGGTGACAAGGCATTTATTTATTTGTTAAATTGCAACCACTGTGTTTGGACAACAATTAACTTTAGTTTAAATAAAACAACATCAACTTCCAAAAATCGCCCCATCTAGACTTCTAAAATTTACCTTTTTTAAGTTGCATAAAGAATCATTTTCTAAAAGAAGCAACATCAAATTTTAATCAATTTTGTTGACTGGGAGTATGGTACAGCAGAATTATCAGGAAAATATCAGGTTAAGGATGACTGTTCAGACCCATTTTAATAATGGGTTTCATGAACATTTCTTACTTTATGTAAAATATGGACTCTTATTGACATAAGTGTTCCCAATGAGTATTCATCTAATGAGATGATGCACCTAAAATCTAGCAAAATTAGGCATTGGTAGAAAAAAGTGCTATACTGAGTTATACCTCTATCAAAAAAAAAAAGATGCATTCTGACTCTATACTTTATTGCCAAAAGAAGAGAAAAGTCAGCCACCCCCCACCTCACTTCCACCACTGTATGTCAAAGGCAGGAAAACTTGAAATTTTCTGACATTCTGGTATATTTCCACCCCACCAAGGGCTATTGAACACTTGGCAAAGTGCTTGGTACAAAGTAAGTGCTTAATAAATGCTTATTGACTCTTTCTGCTCTCCACAGCTTTCCCCTGGAGAGCACCAATACATGGTTCAGTATGTGTCAGTGAAAAATACAAGCATTATAACAGCCAAACCCCAAAAGCCTGGCAGTTAGCAGCAAAGCCAGTGAATAAAAATGAAGGAAAACAGGATTTCATAGCCAGAATCTTTTCTCAAATAATTCACTGAGGCACCTCAATAGCAGGAAAAGTCCATTAACCATTCCACTACAATGTTTTTGATACCTTTCAATTGTCCCATTTCTGTGTCATCGTGCTGTAATTTTTCCCACTGTGAACTAAAAGTTCAAGAAAAGAATATAATACATTAGCTCAATGTACTTGAAAACATATCCTTAGGAAAACCGTAAATTTCTAGAGTATTACAGACATACACAACTCTATGAAGAAAGTTTAAAATCTATTATATGACCAATTTATAAGCCTCACATTAAAAAAGGGCCTTGGTACTTTATAGTCACACTTAGCTTCTGACTCAACTTAACAGACATTTATTAAAATACTACTCCTATATTCAAGGAATTGTTCTGGGTATTAAGGGATAGTATCCAGCTTCCTCGCCTCTATTTACAAAAATAAAAACAAATCTCCATTTCAAAAGACAAAGATTTACCACCGCTAAGGATATTCAAAAGAATGCCCTGCAAGCTTCTCAAATCATTTTTTAAAAGGAGCTTTAATTATTATTATGAACAGCTAGCATTTATATAGTGTGCAAAATGTTTTACAAATATCATTAACATTTGATCTTCACAATAACTTGACAAATCATTCTTATCTCCATCTTACATGACTTTGCTCAGTGTCACACAGTAAGCAAGTATCTGAGGCGGGGATTCCATTGTAGGTCTTCTTGATTCCAAACTCAGCTATCCACTACACCAGAGGTGTCAAACTTGTAGCTCAAGCCAAATTAAAATACAATTTGGAAATATTTATCAAATTAATAAAAATATAATAAAATGTAGAGAATGTAAATTTGTGATTTCTAAGTCAATATATGGCCCACAGGGATTCGTTTCTATTTGTGTTTAACAACAATGCACTAAATAATGCTGCCTTTAAAAAGTCATCTGCTGAGTAGGAGGGAAGGAGACAGGGGTTCTTGGTATCACACCCTGGCTTAGCCATTTACTTCCCACGTAACCCTTAGGCAAGTAAATTAAGCCTTCTAGACCTCAGTTTCCTCAACAGTGAACAAGAGGGGGTTGAATCAGATGGCCCTTAAGGTCTCTGACAGCTCCAGATCTATGATCCTCTAATACCATTTTTTTCTGATAATGTAAATTGTCAGGAGCAGACTGTATCAAACCTAAGTAGTGAAAGCGAGTACTTTTGTGTGAAGAGGGATTTTCTTCTTTTTTGGAGGGAGGGTAATAAATTTCTTCTTCCAAGTTTTATTTTTAAACCCCTCCCGTTCTTGCTTTATGGGTTTAAGCGAGCAGCTAGATGGCTCAATGAATTATAGAGAGCCGTGCCCAGTGTCAGGAAGAAGACATCTTCCCAAGTTCAAATCCGGCCTCAGACACTAGATCTGCGACCCTGGGCATGTCATCTAACCCTGTTTGCTTCAGCTTCCTTAACTGTATAATGAGTTGGAGAGGAAAATGGCAAATAACTCCAGTATTTTTCCCAAGAAAAGCCCAAATGGGGTCATGAAGAATCAGACATGAGTGAAAACTGAACAGCAGCAATCAGTTTGAGCAATATGTTTGTAGAGAATCGTATGTTCAATATTAATTTCTTTTGTATTTATTATTTCTACTTTTTTTATCTGAGATTTCACTGATATGTATTTTTTCTTTCTTTTGATTAATTTTGCTGCTGTTTTTGTAACTATTGGTTTTCTTTTAAAAAGGCAGCTTCTGGTTTTATTTATTAATTCAATTGTTTTATAAATATTAATTTTTGTTCTTAGCTTCATAACCTCTTTTAAAACTACAGCTTTGTTAGCTTTCTACTGTCTTTATGTGGAAACCTAATTCATTTATTTTCTTCTTTTCTTATCAATACAGGCAACTGAGCGACATAAATTTGCTTTTAAAAACTGCTGTAACTGTATCCTATAGATTGTGATATCATTTCTGTCATTAGCTTTTAAATCTTCTGGCTTTGTCTTCCTCTTTAATTCAAGCTTTAATATTACATTTTCCAGTTTCCACATCATTTTATATATTTTTCTCATGTTATTTGATTATAATTTTATTGACTATTGTCTGAAAACAAAACGTATCTAAATTTCTATTTTTAAAAAAATTATGTGGTACTCCCCTATGCCCTATTTTATCAATTTTTGTGAATATTCTGGGTACTTGAATTAGTTTTCTCTATATAGCTGTTGTTTCCAATTTAATACGAGTTCAGATATATGATTTCTTTATTAACTTAATTTTCCTCAATAATGTATTTTTGAAGTTACCCATTATTATTGTTATATTTTGTCTATTTTGTCTCCTGAATTAAAATTTTACCTCCACCTAATTTTGTCTCCTGATTTAAAATTTTACCTCCACCTTACAAACAACATAACCACAGGCCAGTCACTTTAACTCAGCCTCAGTATCCTCATTTGAAAGGGGGTATAAGACCTCAGTTATTTATGTCTCAGGGTTGGTAAGATGATCAAATGAGAAGCTTGGGGCCTTGGGTAGATATAGAAAAACAAGTGTTCACTCTGAGTCAAGATAAATACCATAGTAAAAGAATCAACCATCTTTGAGATGGCTCTAACTATGTTCAACCCAGTATAGCACAGTAGAAGGCTAGAGGTTAGGCAGCCTACTGACAACTCAAAAAGCAGGGAAAGAAAATTGATGAATGACCCTATTTGGGCTAAAGAGATGCAAAGGGTACTGGGTTTATAGGTGGTGGAGGTACCCTTTAGACTACAGTACTTGAGAACAGTTCAGCATGGCTCTGTAAGCCACAGTTGTAGTAAACTCCTCTTTTCCAGGGGAAATAATAAACATGAAAAAATAGGTAGAAAATAAGATGTTTTAGGAAAAAAGATAAATAAGATAAAATGATAATGAACATAACCAGGATGAAAGGTATTACTACCAATCATTACTATTAGTAATGATTCTCACTAAGTTCATATATCAGCACGAATCTAGGATTTACTTCAGATGCCACACTGTCAAGCTTCTTAAACGGTTTCAGCAGCAACAGTTTGCAGCAGAACCAGCATATTGATGACCAGATCTTAGGATCTAGCCAGTGTATTTTGGCATTGAATTCTTGTTTATTGTAACAGAATTTTACAGGGCTGGATAGTAGGAAGAACACACATCATCAGAATTCCAAAGAAGTTGTACAACAAGATAAATATGATTAAAAGTAAAGAGGACAAGAGAATCTATGGATTTACTGAGATAAAATCTCAAGTAACATGGCTTGACTACAAATGGCTGGAAAATCACAGCACTTATTTGATAAACCTGGAATAAAGCTTGAAGTTTTGGTGGCAAAAGTTACCATGACAACTTAGCCAGAAAGCAAAGTCACAAAAAACAACAGATACTCATGATATAAATTTAGCTATTAATCAAAAGCCACATTTTACATGTCCTCTTAAGAAAGGTTGCATACTTTGGCTATACCTAACCACACAGATTATAATCGCCATTAGGGATCATCTTATTTTTTTAAAACCAGGTCAAGGGGCAGCTAGATGCCACAGTGGAAAAGCACTGGCCCTGGAGTCAGGAGGACCTGAATTCAAATCCGGCCTCAGATATTTGATACTAGCTGTGTGACCCTGGGCAAGTCACTTAACCCAACTGCCTAGCAAAAACAAACAAAACAAAAACAAAAACTTTTTAAAAAAAAAAAGTCAAACAAATAAACAAAAAATACTATCAATAAAGTTCCAAATCAGTATTTTCAGAAATATTTCTTCAGATAAATCATTGGGTTGTGTTTACTAGGAAAACAGATACATCTCAAAGTAGTTTATGTAATTCATCTTAATATATACTGTTACAGACAAATGAAATTTATCCATATCAATCTGATTAAACTTGAAATGCAAACACTTTCATCTAATTTTTCAACTCAAAGAGGACCAGTTGCTAGTAAATTAGAAGTTTAGCTAATGTGGTTTACCTTGTTTTATTCTCTAAAATCACTTTAAAAGATTCAGAATTTCATTATAGTTATCTAATGGTTAACAGCTTGTTGTTTTTATAATCAATTAGATTATCTGGTAACAGTTTAAATTAATTTTATTAAAACTAATGTGATGAGAACATTAATTGGTCAAATAACATTTTTGGGCCACCTCCCCAAATAAAAAACTCATTTTTAAAAAACACTTTTAAGTGTAAAGCAACATTTCTAAGTATACCTCAAAACTTAGTTATGTTCAAATTTTAACCAATCTTTTTGGGAAATAAATGAATCTAAGAAAGACTTTTGGATAAAAAAGATTAAAGAAAATTCCTAATTGTGGTTTTTACTACCTAGGTGCACTAGATCAAATATCCACTTTAATATATAAAAGTAGCATATACTTTTCCTCAGGATTTATGTAGGATACAGTGGGTTTGCTTTTTAATATAAAATGAAAATGTTTAAAGAGTATGAGAAGCAAAGCTAGTTAAAAAATATTCTCTAATTCCTCTGAATATCACATTCCTATCTAATAATTTTAGAATACCTTACTTCACAAAATGTTAATTTTCAAGCCAGAAACAAATTAATAAATATACAATGATTTCTATTTCTTTCCAGCAGGCTAAAAAATATTTGCTTTGTCCTAATATGAAAGTGAAGAATAAGAACTACATTTTAGCATAATAAATATCTAGATAATCCATACTGAATAATCTCCAGAACTCTGGCAAAAAGAGAACCTTACCTTGATATCTCCCTGAGATACACGGTATGCATAGCCTTCTTCAAATGAGGTTCAATATTTCTCCACAGTTTACGGGTATCACGTTCATTAGCTACATTGAGGAAAAACACATACACAAACATACAACAAAAACCCAAACTTTAATAATATAAATCCTAGGAAACAGCTATGCAAAAGTATGATATTAATATATAAATAAAAGACATTTACCTTCTCCTTTTACCACAGGTTCACAATATTTAGAAAAGTTAAGAGCTGCCTATATTTAGAAAAAAAAAAGTTATTTCCAAATAGTTATCATTTTACTGTGACAAATTTATTTTTAAGGTAAGTTATTTATTACTTTATTATAAAAAGCTGAAGTGAAGAAAATTCATTAACTATATAAATTTTTTTAAATGCTCAAGGACATTTTTAATGAGCCAAATCCTGCTAGAAGATCATTCCTTGGCTGTACAATAAGCACTTTTAGGGAAAACAAAGTACTTTTAGACTACAGAGTGTATCTAGCACTTTGAAACAGTGATTTACAAAATAGTTCTTCACAATCCTAAATATTGAACAACTTTACAAAGTCAATTATAGTAGCATAATCCACAAAATATATCAAATTAGCTCTGGTTAATTAATGGCTAACTAAACCATTAATAAACATGGTTCCTATTTAAAAGGAAATGAATTTTAAAACTCCTTTAGTCAGATATGTCAAGTATGCATAGTGATGCTTATTCACTTCCAAGAATTTCACGTTGAAATGTGGCTCATACATATCAATCAACCAATAAGCCTTTATCAAGTGAATACTACACACCAGGTACTAGGGATATGAAGAGAAATGTGTAAATTTGACATGTTAATAAATGTATAACTAAATTAATAAGACGAACTAGCATTAAAAATAAACATAATGAAACATATATTGACTCCATTTTTCTTATCTTACCTCAATAAAACATCCAATTTTTTAAAGTACCTGTTTAGAGAATGTTTCAACAACATCTAATATTAATTTTCCCTTCAGAGCATTTCCCTACAGCAACCTTGTTTAGCCTTTTTTATCTTTAGGTCTAAGAAATGGCCTAATTAAAAAACAACTGGCCAAATATAAGTAGTAACTGGTGAATTTCTTTAGTTGAAAGATCAGACATGTGGCCTATAATTCACGTATACCACTAATTATCCAGTCCTACCCATTTTGCTTCATCTAGCAGGGGTGGGGAACCTGATGCCTTGAGGCCATACATAGCCTTCTTGACTGACTCCAAAAAGGTTGCACTTAAGGATCTAAGAAGGCCACAGGTTTGCCACCCAAGTAGGGGAATGTGTTCAATTGTCTAAACATTTTTAAAAATTTTAAGTAAAACAAGGAAGTTTTTGTCTTACCAATGAATTGATTTTACAAGAATCTTGTCCAATTACCAAATACCATAAAGTACCAAGACCAACTATCCTTTACTGTGCCCTACTATGCTACTATGCCTTCTGTACTCCTGTTCTGGCCCTAACCCTGGGACCCGATTACTCCATCAGCACAGAAAGAGCACTGACTTTAACGCCAGACAACTGAAGTTAAAATGCTGGCTCTGATATTTGTCTGTGAAATCTTAGGCAAGTCACTAAGAATCTTCTACACTCCTATAATCTATTATCATATACTCAACACCTTCAAATGTGTCCTAACTTTGTACTGCAACTTCACTTGCTTCTATTACCTAATCTCAACTCCACGGTCAGCCACTTAAATGTCTGACTAGCCAATTCCCTAAATTATCCAACACCTAAATTACTTAACGTAATCCTTTATTCCTAAAGTAACCTCTGAGTGAGACAATGTAAACAGCGTGAGATCTCTCAGATGGACTGAGTGTAACAGTTTTGTAGACTGTTACAAACTCAAGGTTGGTTATGCTAGCCTGAATAGGCCCAAGTTTCAAGTTCCTAGAAAACACATGATCTGTACTGTTACATCAGTATTAGGTAATGGCTAATGCTAAATAAGGATAAAATAGCTAGGATTGGTAGTATTATAATGAGATTCCTTGTTTCTGGGGTAGATTTTCGCATTTTAGATTGTAAGGCTGAAATTCCTGTCCAATGGGAATTTACAGCCAGTGATGGGTGGGTGTCTCTGCGTTAGGACTATATAACCTTTGTTCTGACCTTTGTGCCTTGCCTCGCTTTGCTCAGACTGCCGGACGAAGCAGACACCTGCTTCTCGTGAGAACATAATAAATCTTTCACTTTATACCTAGAAAATCTCTGAGTGCTATTTTTGGGTAACTGTAGCACACAATATTTGGTGCACTGGCCAGGAAAACATGACCAGGTGGAAGGACAGAGTCCTGGGCCTCTTGGGGCGGCGTGCCCTGCCTCTATTTTAGGCAGCCCATGCGGCTTGGGATTTCTTCCCCTTCCACCAGGTGAAGTGACCCGAAGCAGAGAGACTAGGTGTATAGTGAAAGTAAAGGAGAGGACTCTGCGGCAAATCCCGACCGTCGGTGTGGACAGAGCAGTCAGGTAACTTGTGTGCACATGGCCCAAGGTAAGCACCTAGGGGACCCTTGAGTCAAGCGCTTACCAACTCTGGAAGGGGTGCCCCGGATAGGAAGGCTCTTGGGTGACTGAGAGGTGGAGGCAACCTCCCTGTGATTGGGCGTAGGAACCGGGGGGTTCTATCAATATTGAAATGGGCAGGCTCAGCTGCCCTCTGCAGAGATTAAAATTAAAAGAATACCAGTAAATAGTCCCTTGGGAAATAAATTAAGTAATTGGAATGAGTTGCCAAAATATAAAGGGAAAAAAAATGATTAGATACTGTTGTTTTGTTTGGGGTAATAAGGATATTGGAGGTGGCACAATTTGGCCCTATTATGGTTCGGCCAAAGACTGGGTGTGCCAGAAATTAAATTTATTTGTGAATGAAAAGGATCCTGTGGACCCAGAGGAAGTGATATATGCTGGTTTATGGCTTCCAGGGAGCAGGATGTTTTTGAGTGAAAATAAACCTAAGAAGAAAGAGGATAATAAGGAGGGGGAGGTAGTGTCTCAGGAGGGGTGGGATCCATTGTCGTCTCTTCCGCCCCCCCCCCCATGCAATACCCGTTCAGGGGCCGGTGGTTCCGGCTTCCACCCCCCAAAAAAATACTGTATTATTTAGGTTATATGATTGGTAGGGGACTTCTGACAAGTTTCTCGCTTTTGGATTCTCCCTGTCATTTTGTTCTGTTTGTCTGTGTCTGTGTGAATGATGGTCTGTGATTAATGTCTGTGAGTTGTTGATCCTTCACCGCCAGGCAGCCAAGGCCTGCAACTGGATTCTGAAATACTGCTAGCAACTTTCTCCTCTTCCCCCCCCTCCCTAATACCAGCCACATTCCCAGGAACAGATGAATGGGGGAGAGAATGGGAAAAATATATATACTTTATTATTTAGGTTATATGATTGGTAAAAAGCAAGTTGAGGAGGATCCTCAAAGTGTCAGGTCAGAATTAGAAAGAAATAAGGTATGTGCAGTTTTAAAGGGACTTTAATCAAAGTCCATCAGAGGGATAATTAGGTAGAAGGAAGGCAAAAAGGTTTAAACATGTAGGAGAGAGGAGAATGTGTAGGAAGCTTAAGGAAGGTATAATTTATTTGCACAGTGTGAATAGAGGTTTTGAAAGTAAAAAGGTTTGGAAACTCTTGAAGAGTTGTTGGAAAATATTTTCTTCCTAAGGTGGATGGAAGAGAGAGAGATAAGGAGGAAAGGAGGGTGCTCAGATCAAAGGGAGGCAGGCTAAAATAAGTCTTTAACCATTCCCTGCCTTATACAAAAGAGAAAAGTTTTTGTGTACCAGAACAAGAACAAAAGGTAATTTATGGGCAGCCAGAGGCTGTGCTGAATGATATGTGATGTTCAGAATTTATTATGTTGTTTGGTATTAAGATAAATTGGGAAAACATAAGAATCTGCAAACTGTTAAACTTTGATATTGTTATGTCAAGTGGCTTTTCATAATTTGAATGTTATTAAAGTAAACTGAAAGAAACTAAAAAAATATATATAGTAAAAACTGTGTGAGACAAGTGAATTGTTTAAAGGTGTAAAAGCCGTTTGGCAAGAGAGAGAGGGAGGGAGAGCCCTATTCAATATCTCCCTTCAGAAATTCAAAAAGAAAGCTGTGTAGTAGCATGTTAAATTAATTACGAAATTAGAGAAAAGAGAAAAAGGAATGAATTTGGCTGTTGGGGCATTCTATATGATCCTGTTTTGTAACATTTCCTTTTAAATACATTGTAATTTAAGAAAGTATAAAATTTCCAAATTTTGTTTTTATTTTAAAGGGAATTTTTAGTTAAAATTGTTTAGCTATCATATATGAAATTTGTGAGATTGTTAACTATTTGGGGTTACTTTTTCATGCTAAAACCTAAAAGGGTTAATTAATTACTGTATGTGGAAAGAAGGAGATAGTGTACAGCCTTATCAGGTTGGTTCTGCCCATTCAAGGGCACCAGTATCAGCCCTCTCTGAGGGCCGTGGCAATTCTCATTATTTTGTAAACTTGCCAAGGTCCCTGGAAACCATGAGAAAAGAACTTGTTAGGATTATGCAGTTCCCAGACAATGAACTTAGCTTGCTGAGAATTTGCAAGGGTATAGAAGTTATTTCTAATGATTGGCTTTTACACCAGGACGAGTTTAAATTTGAGAAGGAAAGATGTTAAGTGAAATCTCTTATGTATGTAAGTCCTAGTAAATCTTTATTGCTTATTGCAATTCTATGAGAGCAAAATTAACTGTTATCTGGCTTTAAGCTGTGATTAGTGAGACTTGCTGTTTGAGGTAAAACGCTCTTGGGACTATAACTAATTTTGTTTTGAGTTTGAATTTAGATATAGTTGTCTGCATTAAAATCAGTATCTGAGAGAGAGATGCCAGTGAATGTGATTCTGTACTGGTAACAGGTGGAGGTAAATGTGACTCATTTGGGAAAAAGCCAAGGGGACAATCTTAGCCTCAATCTAGGATGGGATCCTCCTGCTCAGTTTCCCCATTGTGTTCCTTTGGAAAGGAATGTTTCCCACCTGACTATTCCTGAGTCTGGCTATGAGGAGAAACAGATACTGCATGACTGAAGAACTGCGACTCTATCTGAATTTAAACAAAGTTAAGGATATTTTATCTTGTTATATTCGATACGTCACATGTTCCTGCTCTTTTTCCTTCTGCAGTAAGTTTCTATGATTAGAGCAAGTGGTCAGTACAAGATAAGAGCTCTTTTGTGTTATCTTATTGGGAAATCTAATGATATTTTTATCTAGAACTATAACCTGTGCAGAAATTTATGCAAACTGCTTAAGACTCACCTTAAGATGTTCCGTTTCTTTAAAAGAATTCTAAAAGCAGTAGCATTTTTCATGTAATCAGTGTCTTACTGTTACCAATGTGAAAATTCTATTATAACACCATTTGACCAAGGAACTTTGTGATATATAGGGATTCTGTGATAACTAGGAATTTAGTTTCTTGATAATACTCTACAATTTGTGTTATTTAAGGACTTTTGCACCAATTTAGTAAGATTTTATGAACAAGAATGGAAATGCATGCAAGTTATTTAGGGCTCACTTTGGAGATGTTCCTTGGCAATGTGAGATTATAGTTTATACCTTGAACTGATTGTTGAAACCTGCTGGTCCTAATGACTGACTGTTTCTGAGTCTAACTCCAGGTGTAAATATCAAGGAAGGTTGTCTGAGCCAATGATCTGTGATGCCAGTAGCCCTGTGAGGGGCAAGTATGAACTGCAGGTATGATTTCATGGGAAGGTTTAGAGGGCAACTGTTCTGCATGTGCTGAGGTGGGACCCTCTTGACTTGATTCCTTAATTGAAACCTGGCCGGCTTTAAGTCTGGCTCAATGCAGTTTGCAGTTTGACATAACACTCTGCTTGGAATTGACAGGAAGTTGGGGGAAATATTGTTCCCTTATTCTAATCTCTTAGTGGCAAGTTTCTATAATCAGAAGATTGTGTAAGCACAGTAACAAAGTTGCTAAAATAATTGATTATGGAACATCTTAGATTACTATAGAACTGGGATTAGTGTTCCTGTGTGTTCCTATATGAGTTGGGGTCCTTTAATTCTTGGTAATGGTATGAAGACAATTAGGTTTATTTTGTAAATGCCATCAAAGAAACATGGCATGCCTAAAAGTTTAAGATTTTATATATATACTGTGTTAAAATTGAGTATTTAATATATTTACGCATGTACTAGAGCCTGTTGTTAACCCCTTAGCGAAATCTCATCCTCCTGGTGAGGAAATTAATAATGGATTAATGTAAAGTATAAGACACTGGGCTCTGAGGTGAATTTCTTAAACATGACAATTGACCATGGTTCCAATTTTGAGTTTGTAAAATGATCAGGGTTATAAGGATTAGAAATGGTAATTTAAAATTGTGCTAAGGTCACTTTTGCAGGAGAATGGACAGAAAGCTGGTTCCTACAAGAAGACAAGATGCTGAGATGCTGTGCTGGAGATGGCTGGAACAAACACTAAGGACCAGAGGACTTCATTGACGATATGCCCTGCCAGAAAGCTATATAGGAAAAGACTTTTTGAATTTTAAAGGGACTAATTGCTCAAACTCCCCCTCTAGGGTTTCCTGTTCATAAACTACAAGTAGGTGATTGGGTATATGTTCAATCTTGGAAAGATGAAAAATTAACCCTGAATTGGGATGGGCCCTTTTAGGTACTTTCAATGTCTGATACTGCAGTTCGCACCCAGGAGCAGGGTTGGACCCATCACACCAGAGTAAAAGGACCAGTGGTGCCTCCTTCATCTGAATGGACTGCTGAAAAAAAACAAGAGGACCTCAAACTACATCTACAAAGGAGACTGCCTCCTACGAGCCCTTATCATGATCCTTAAACTTCTTTCATTTCTTATAACTGACTGTTACTGCTGCACCCATCCCTGTACTGTTTCCACAAGAGAATCAATTTATACAACTTATGCAAAATGGGTAGCGGAAAGCAACTGGAGATGAGTACATGTGAGTATACTTATTCCTGCCAGATTGGTTACTTTGAAGTTGACTGTTCCCTATATCAAGGTAGATGGAATGCCACTCATATTAAATGCACTAATGGGACATGGATATCACGTAAGAGTGAAAGGTACCTTACTGGTACTAATTACCGCACAACCTGCAGATATGTATTGGCAGGAGGGAATCCTCATTTAAGCTGTAATCTTTCCCAGGAAATTGGTGACTTACAGCAACTAAATCTATGTAAAGATGAAAATAGTATTAATGGGAAACTGAGGCTTCCTTATCATGATTGGGCATGGAGAAATCAAACATGATCTGGATATTTTAGGAAATTTTGGAGCAAGGAGGATGGTACTAATTCAGATCCAGGGGTGGAAAAGTGTAATTGGGAAAAAATAAACAGCTATGGAAATGTATTTATAAAGAGGGGGACCATTGGGAGACAGGGATATTCAATATTATCCATCAAGAGGAAATGTAAGTCAAATTTTTAGTAAAAAACAACCAGCTTTATAAAAGGCCATTATTGGATATGTGGTTTAACTGCTTATACACACCTTCCAACAGATTGGACTGGAAATTGTTATATTGGATTAGTGAGACCTAAATTCTTTTTCTTACCAGGACAAGAAGGGAAGCAGTTAGGGATACAACTATATGATGACCTTGAAAGAGGAATGAACGGACTTACTACCAAGTCATGTAGGCAGTTAACGGCAGAGCTAGTACTGAAGGAGTAACAACACTTGGCTGGTTGTCTCCCCTATCAGACTGTCAGCTCCTTGAGGGCAAGGACAGTCTTTTGACTGTTCTTGTACTCTTGGTGCTTAGGCACAATGCCTATCACATAGCAGATGCTTAAAAAAATTTGCTGACTGACTGCTAAATACGTTATAATAACATCTAGGGGCCAGAAGAAACCTTGAAAAATCACGTTTCTTCAGATAGGACTATACCTAAATCATTCCAGATGGATTAAAAGCTATCTTGTTTTTCAAAATTTCCCGAAATTGAGGCAGCTAGGTGGCGCAGTGGATAGAGCACCAGCCCTGAAGTCAGGAGGACCTGAGTTCAAATCTGGCCTCAGATCAAACACTTGACACTTACTAGCTGTGTGACCCTGGGCAAGTCACTTACCCCCAGCTGCCTAAATTAAATGAATGAATGAATGAATGAATTTCTGGAAATTATAAATTCTGTTGGTAATCCAATTTTATGTATAACAATCTTTCATCTAAATCTCTCATGCTACAGTACAATATCCTCTTTCACATTCAATGGAAACTGTTATGCTAACTCAATGTGACAGCCTAATAAGAATAACAGAATCTTAAGTTAGAAAAGACCTTAGAGATCACCTAGGAGGGACTCCTGGGGTGGAGCCAATACGGCAAAGTAGAGAAAGCTGAGCTCTTCCAAAACTGCCCTTCAAAAAACTTTACAGTAACCCCTTAAATCAAACTCTGGAGTGGCAGAGCCAACAAAAGGTCGGAGTAAGACACTCTTCCAGCCCAAGACAACTTAGGAGATATGTGACATGGGGGAAGGAGGCTGGCCCAGGGCCCACATGGATGAAACATCAGTGGTGGGACCAGGTGGTGGTGACAGAAGCAGCAGTAGCAGCTTTGGGAGCTCTCAGAGTTGGTAAGAGAAGTTAGCAACTGGCCAGAAAGAGATTACAGAGTACCCTTGTGCTAGCAGTGGACATAAGAGCAGAAATTGTTTAGCAACTCCATTGTCTATACCCACTTCTGGGTCATAGTTCAAGGGCTGAGAAGGGCACTTTCAGTCAACAGGGAATAGAATGGAATGGCAGTATCACTTCCAGCTCCAAGGGATCAGGAACCCTTAAGAACAGTAACGTTTCTGGTCCCAACGGAAGAAGGGGCCCTGAGAAGCAGTATAGACTGCAATCCCAATGAATTGGGGCCCTTCCTAGGTAAGGACCAGAGTGCAAACCAAGACAGCAGTGACTACATCTCTCCCCAGCTCACACCACCTTGGAAGCAACAAAAACTTTCAAACCTCCAAAACTAGCTCTGAAAACAGCACTGCAGAAAAAGCCTGAGGCTTGAGACAGAGCTCCTCCCTACCTCTCACTCCCAACCTGTACCAGGAACAGAGCCCAACATTAACATAAATCTAAATCAAGAAATAGGGTGGAAAAATGAGCAAACAACAAAAAAGGAATCTGATAATAAAAAGCTACTATGGTAACAGGGAAGATCTAGACACAAACTCAGAAGACAATCTAGTCAAAACACCTATAAAGCAAAGCCTCAAATTAAAATGTGAATTGGAGACCAGTCCAACAAGAATTCCTGAAAGAACAAAAAAACGATTTTCAAAATCAAATAAGAGTTGTACAGGAAAAAATACGTAAAGAAATGAAAGCAAAGGAAGAAAATTATGAAAAGATGATACACAGCATGACAAAAGAGGCACAAAAAATACTGAAGAAAATAATACTTAAAAAGGAGAACTGGTCAACTGGGAAAAGAGGTGCAGAAGTTCCCCATAATTCCTTAAAAACTAGAATTAAGTTAGTGAAAGCTAATAACTCCATGAGAAATCAAGAAACAAAGTCAAAAGAATAAAAAAAAAAAAGAAAGAAAATGTGGACTACATCTTTGGAAAAACAACTGATCTGAAAAATAGATCAAGGAGGGAGAATTTGAGAATTAACTAGACTATCTGAAAGCCATGATCAAAGAAAGAGCCTAGCCATCATTTTTAAAAAAAAATCATCAAGGAAAACTACCTCATATCCTATAACCAGAGGTTAAAATAAAAATTGAAAGAATCCACTGATCACTGACTCAGATCCCAAAACGAAAACTCCCAACAATATTATAGCTAAATTGCAGAGCTCTCAGGTCTGAGAGAAAACACTTCAAGCAGCCAGAAAGCAAGCATTCAAATACTGTTGAACCACAGTGAGATCACACAAGATCTAGCAGCTACTACATTAAAAGAGTAGAAGGCTTGGAATATGATATTCCAAAAGGCAAAAGAGCTAGGATTAAAACCAAGAATAACCTACCCAGAAAAACTGAGTATAATCCTTCAAGGGGGAAAAAAATGGGTATTTAATGAAATAGAAGTCTTTCAAGCATTCCCGATAAAAAGACCAGAGCTGAATAGAAAACGTGATGTTCAAACAGAAGATTCAAGAGAAGCATAAATAGGTAAAGGTGAAAGAGTAATCATGACATCTAACTCAGAACTCCTTGCAGCCTGACCAACAACCTCATTTGAGCTCAGATTTCCTCCAAAAAACTACCGTCGAGGATCAGCTAATTGTAATGTCCTAAAGGAAGACCAGGTTCCCCATAACAAGATCACTATTGTTAAGGTTGGTGCAATTGGCATGGCATGTACCATCAATATCTTAATGCAGGATTTGGCTAATGAACTTGTCCTAGCTGATGTCAAAGAAGACAAACTAAAGAGAGAGATGATGGATCTCTAACATGGCATCCTTTTCCTAATACCAAAGATTGTTTCTGGCAAAGACTACGGTGTAACTGTAAGTCAAAGCTGGTTCCTGTTACGGCTGGGACACATCAGCAGGAGAGAGGAAACCATCTTAATTTGGTCTAGCACAATGTGAATATCCTTAAATTTATCACTCCCAACATAGTTAAACAAAGCCCTAATTGCAAGCTGCTTATTCTTTCCAATCCAGCAGATATTTTGACATGTGACCTGGAAGCTAAGTAGCTTTCCTAAAAACCATGTCATTGGAAGTGATGACAATCTGGATTCTGCCAGTTTCCATTACCTAATGGGAGAGAGACTCAGTGTCTATTCTTCAAGTTGTCATGGATGGGTCCTTGGAGAACATGGAGACTGCAGTGTTACTGTGTGCAGTGGTGTGAATGTTGCTGGTGTCTCTCTGAACAATCTTTATCCTGCTTTAGGAACTGATCCTGACTGAGAGTACTGGAAAGATGTTCATAAACAGGTGGCTGAAAGTGTTTATGAGATGATCAAGCTTAAGGGCTACACTTTCTTGGCCACTGGCTTGTCTGTGGCAGATCTGGCAGAAAACATTATAAAGAATCTCAGGAGAGTGCATCCAATTTCTACCATTCATGATGATGTCTTCCTCAGTGTCCCATGTGTCGTGGGGCAGAATGGCATTTCAGAGGTAGTGAAGGTAAACTTGATTCTGGAGAAGGCCTATTTAATGAAGAATACAGATACTCTTTAGGGAATCCAGAAGGAGCTGCAATTTTAAAGCCTTTTAATGTGCTGCCAACTTTACTGGCTAGAGAATGTAACAGTGGTTAAGAGATTATGTAGAATGCACTTCTTCAAGCAAGTCAAATCCTTCCTCTGGTTAGTGAGTCAACACCAAAAATGTAAAATTTATGAACACACTCTAGTCTCTTCCTAAAGTTAGAAATGGGGAACAATACAGTGTGACTATTTGTTAAAGCCTGTTGTTTGCATTGTGATGCTGGATATGACCTGTACAGGATTGAAGTAGTTGCTGTCAAGCAGACCCAGAACCCCACAAGTATATAACTTCCTGCCTTATAGGTGCTACAGGTTCCTCAAGATCCAGAAAACAACTTTTGGTTCCTGGACAAAAAGCACCACACAGTAGTAATACATTGTTGATGCACTGATAACCTTTGTGCTTCCCTCCATTAGGGCTCTACAGCATAGCCCCATGTATTACCTCTCCAGAAGACGTCATTTTGTCTATATGGATAGACAGCTCTCTCAATAATTGTAAATTTCCACATTATATAAAAAGATTTACATATGCACAATGATAATTTCTCAAGCATCACACTAACCCAAATACTGAATAAACAATAAATAATTTTTTAAAAGTCATCATAAAAGACTCAATAAAGTTAAACTGTTTAATAATATAAGAACTGGTATCCCTAGACAAATACTTAGAGGAAGTGTACTCCTAATCTTTTCACCTACAGGTCTATACTCCTCAAAACTTACTAAATCACCTACTCTGGGGGAAAAAAGTACTTCGATGCAGGTCTATATTCATGTATACTTTTATTAACTTATCCAAAAATTTTCGATTAGCAATTTTATAAAGATAATGAAAGAGTGGGAAAAGTTTGAATAGTGGGGAAAAAAGGGTAAAGATATCTTTTCTCTCCTATGGTCTGCAAGATGATTCAAATTTGTAACTATCCTATTATCCTTCTTCCTTTTTTAAAAATATCTTTTTCATTTACTAATGGAACTACTAAATATTACTAGTAACAGTGACATGAAAGTATGCTTTGAAGTTATATACCTAAAACGTTATGATCTAGACCTAAATGAAACTTCCTTTCTTCAGAAATAGAAACACTTTATGAGGTAATGTATTTAATTGCTTCTCTGTTTCCCTTACCTAGTCTCCCTCAAATATTTGGAGAAGAATCAAGGAACATCTCTGTCTCCCTCCCATGAACTCTTTTTAGGAAGAGGGCAGAGATGTTAGACCCTTGTATGCCTCCAACTCCACGGAGAGATGCCTTCAATTGAGCTGAAGGTATAGCAACTGGCCTTTTTGCTTCTTTTAACTCATTTGTGGCTCATTAAATTTCCTTTTCTGAGACTGGGTTACTTAAATTATCTTTCTTGAAAATTGTTCAATGTGGGTGCTTTATATTTTTTGTAAGTAATCATCCATTTTATTTAGTTTGTCAGTTTTACTGACATATAATTGGACAAAAGTTTCAAATAATTTTCCTTATTTCATTTGTTGTTAATCTTCCTTCTAAATTTTTTATGTCAAAATAGCTACTGGTTTATCTATTTTATTAGCTTTTTCCCAAAACCAGCTTTTATTTTTACTTAAATTCAATATTATTATGCTTTCAAATTTTATTACTCTCTATTTGACTTTCAGCATTTCCGATTTAGGGTTTAATTTGGTTCTAAATATTTAATACATAAATTTCCAAAAATTTAGGAAGGACATAGACATTTTTTCCTTAAAAAGGAATATAAGCAATGACTAAAGAGAACTGGAATTCAGAGCTTCTGATTTAAGTATGTTTCCTTCCATTTAGATAAAAAGTTAGCATATACCAAAGAAACCCAAAATAAGGCAACTTTTGACTCTTTACAGGTAGGTAGGTGGTAGTTTAAAAAAAAAAGTTCATTCTTGGAATGACCTATGGAAAGTATAATGGCCAGTGATCAAGTCAAAATATTACTAAACCATAGATTCAGCTCACACAGAAACACTTTCTATTTCTATGACATCTCTCAGAGCCATCATTTTACCACTATTCACACAGCTACCAACTTTGCTTAGGCCTTCAGAAACTCTAATCTGGACTGTTGCAGTGGCATCCAAACTGTCTTCCTTTTAAGTCTCTTCCTGCTTCAATGTATCCTCCACACAGCTGACAAAATTATTTCCTTTAAGTCCAAGTCTAAGCATACCACTCCCCTACTCAATACATTTCAGTAACTCCATATTGTCTCTATAATCAAATATAAATTCCGGTTTGGTTTTTAAAGGTATTTACTAGGCTCTTCTTGATTTTCATTGTATATTAGTTCCTTTTCCATAATACTGCCCACCAAACTGTCCTTCTTGTCATTCATCACATATAGCACTCCACTTGCCATTTGTATGCCTTTGCACTGGCCATCATTTGTACCTGAAATATACTCCCTCTAAAAGAATCCCTTACCTCCTTAACTCATGCATCACCTTCTACACAAAGCCTTTTCTGATTCCACCAACTACTAGTGCCCTCTCCTCAACTACTTTGTATTATTTTATATTTATTCTGTATATTTATCTATATATAAGTACATAAAAATGTATGTATGAGTGAATGTATATGACACACATCTATATGTGTAGACACACACCCACACACCCACACACCCCATTTATTTATGTGCAGGTCTCCTCCCAAAGCATGGAAGTTCACTGACAGGAGGGATCGTTTCATTTTATGTTTGTATTCTCAGCACCTTGCACAGTACCTTGCATATAATAAGCACTGAATATTTATTGACAATAATCTATGGGTCATAGGTTTTAAGCACACAAAAATAAGATAGAGATATTTAAACCAATGAGAATAATGTGACATGAGAATAAATCCTTAGCTCATAGACTATGTTATACTTTTAATATTTTATGGTGAAATAAAAGTAATTTCAAACAAACAAGAAAAAAATATAACGATCACTCACCAGATGTCTGAGCTCTTTCAGGTCTCTGCAGACAGTGTAAAAAACACCAAGAAGAATATTAATGTAGGCTGCATAGAAATCAGCTGAATACTCTGGAGGATGATCATGGGACAAAATCTTTTGAAGATGCCCTGGTCCAAAAACACAAATTTGTTCTTAATGTTTCATAATGTACCTAAGACATGTATGACACTTTATTATACCACTTTGAAACAACACATAAAGCCATGAAAAGGTATAAGAATTGTAAACCCATGAGAATAGGAAAGCAACACTAAATTTTGAAACCAAGATGGGAGGGATCATGGTAGGTGGAGCTGTGTGTCTGCCTTAGTGCTGCAAAGTTTATTAAGTGGCAATGGCAAGCATGACAAAAAAACAAGAAGAATTACATCTAAAGTAGATCTCAAAAGCCTTACTACCTTAGGAAAGTAAATAACTTAAAAATCTAAAGAACCGGAGGGCTGAATTTTCTATCATGTTAGGTATTCTAAGTAAACAATAATTTGGCTAAAAAACCAAGCCAGACAAACAAAAAAAAAGAGCATCTGCTTTTAAAAGTTTTTCACAGAACAAAAAGAATTCCAAAATTCTAAATAAATCCACCAATTTTCAAAGATTTCATTCCTCACTTTTCTCTTCCTTTTCCCTCTTTTTAAAACATATTCTTCTTTCTCCTACATTAAGAGCCTTAAAATTCATCTCTCAAAATTCATCTAACTTTCTTATATGATGACAGATATTTAGGAACAAAAGACATTTCTTGGCTGTGGCCTTCTTTGTTTCTTATTCTTTTTTTTTGGGGGGGGGAGCCTAAGCAATGGGGTTAAGTGACTTACCCAAGGACACACAGCTAGTAAGTATTATGTGTCTGAGGTCAAATTTGAACTTGGGTCCTCCTGAATCCAGGGCTGGTGGTCTATCCACTACGCCACCTAGCTGCCCCTGCTGTGGCCTTCTCATTCCTAATCTCTGTACTCATAATGTCACATCTCTGCCTCACTTGCAACTATGAATCACACTCTTTTCAAAAGAACTTTTTCCTTTCTTTGTTTCAGTGAAACTACTTTTTCCTTGTTCTCTTCTTAGCTGGCCAACAGCTCTTTATCAGTCTTCTTTACTGAATCATCTTCTGCTTAACCATGAGTTTCTACCAGTACTATATCCTGGGCTATTTACTGTCTTTTGCCTATATACACTCTCTCAGGGATCTCTTCCATACCATTACCTTTACATACCTTCTGAATCACTCCAAGTAGATAAAAAATCAGAACCCAAAATTGCCAAGCAACATTGAGAGCCAAGCCAGAAGTTTGATCACTTTACCCTGTAGTGCTCAGGATTCAAAGAAAGGTCTCTAAAGGGATGTTAATTCCTTAAAGAAAAGGCACAGTATGAAGAATTTATACACACATGTGTGTGTATAAAATATATACATTCATATATTATATTGCATATAAACATGTCTGTATATACACATTATGTACATGAGAAAGAAAGAGAGAGACAGAGAGATAATGTGTGATAAAAGTCAAGTGGTCAGTGAAAAGAGCAATGGGATTTGAGTCAGGAAGACATGAGTTCAAATCTGGCCTCAGGAATTTACTACTTGTATGACCTTGGGCAAATCACTTAATCTTTCTCTGCCTCAGTTTTCTCATTTGTAAAACAGGGATCATAACAGCACCCACCTCCCAGGATTATTTTGAAGATTGAATGAGACATATCTGTAAAGTGCTTAGCACAGTGACTGGCACTGAGTAGGCACTATATAAATCCTTATTCCCTTGTTTCCACTTGATTTTCCTTGGTATGCTATTGGGGGGGAACATGGACATTCATATTATTTCAACAATAATTAATATAAAATATAGAACTCCTTTCTTGCAAATGAGGTTTTCTTCTTTCTTTGTGAAAACAGATAAAATTTGTAATTAATGACCATACCCAGTTAGGTTAGTTGTTCAGTGTGATAATAAGGACAAGGAACTGAGGCCAAAGCTAGGAGCCCTAGATCTCATCTAACACAACACTCTTATTTTATAACTTGGGAAATTTAAGCCCAGAGAGGTTATATGACATGCCTACATTTGGCTTTTTTATTGCACCATAATGCCTTTTACATTCCATGGCCACAGACTATATACTAAACATTTAGAAAATCCATAACTGTATTGAGAGATAGATGAAAAAATGTGGATGAACTGGCAAAAATCCACAATGACTAATGAAAAATATACTCAAAGTTCTGATAGAAGGTCAGACCATATTATTAATCTACTGAACCGTTCGGCTAGAGTAACAATGAATACTGCCAATAAAACCAGGCCCTTTAGAATATATGGTAAATCACACTGACAGAGAAGGAAAGATCTCATAGAACGAAAAATAACATTTAAATGTCTGTAAAATACACAAACACTTTCCACATGTGGGCAAATCTAAGCGGTGATAACAAGGTTCATTACACTTGAAATGCTTCCTTCCACTGACTGCCAGATTCCCACACTCCACAGTGATATTTCATTTCCCTTTAAGAGTTTACTTTCTAGACCTATATGGTCTGATGCTGAGTGAAGTGACCAGCACCAACAGGACTTTGTACACAATAACAGCCACGTTATACGATGACTAATATTGTTAAACTGAACCCTTCTCAGCATTACAAGGATGTAAGACATCTCCAGAGGCCTCGGGATGGAAAATGCTGTCCACATCCAAAGAAAGAACTATAGAAGTCGAATCACTATCACTCATTTTTACCTTCTGTTGAGTTTTGTTTCATCTTTTTGATGGTTCCTCCTATTGGTTTTAATTTTTACTTACAACTTCACTAATGTGAAAATATGCTTAATGGGTATGTAAATGTAAAGCCTATATCAGATTGTGTGTTGTCTTGGGGAGGGGGGGAGGAAGGGGGAGAAAAATTTTCAACTCAAAAGCATATGGAAGTGATTGTTGATAAATCAAAATAAATTAATAAAATTTAAAAAAAAAGTTTGCTTTCTAAATGATATCCTCATTCAAACATGTTGACATTGTCTCCCAAACACTGATAATTCTAAATGTTTCCATTTAAAAACTCACTTCTGATAGGAATTTTAAAAATTGAGCATTTACCTATGCTATAATCAGGGAAATACATGATGAATGGTTCAAAACACCCCAGTATTTGGTCGAAACTTTTCCCAGACAATTTGACTGAGAAAGATAACAGTCACGTTTCTGTTGGTCTGTAAAAGAAAAAGGAATAAAAGGTGACCTTGTATATTGAAATTGTAATCAGAATAGTGATTCCATTTGGATTTTTCATTCAGAAAATTATCAAATTTCCAAGCTATAATAAAGTATTTGCATATTAATAAGCTATCTTTAGACATCTAATCAAGGACTCATACATTTGCAGATTTTCATAATTATCCAGAATTTCTATAAAACTCTCATCATTTTGTTATTCAGTTACTCTGTTTGAATGAAACATATCTCACAAAAAGTATTGTTTTACACTAAATTAAGAAAATACATTGCTTGACTAAGATTAGAGCTTTTTATGAAAATGTTCTTAGGAAAGAATGTACCCCTCCAAAAACAACTGCACCTTTCCATAACAAAGCTGATTATGTTTTTAAAAAAAAATCAATGTTTTAGTTACCAATAATGTGAAAAGTGTTACTTTCTAAAATTTTTCCTCTTTTAAAGTAAAATAGAAAAACCAGGAAGATTACAAAGGCAGATTACACATCTAACTTTAGAAGCATTAAGTAAAAAAAGATGACATTTTTAAAGGATTCCAGGCCTGTTTTAAGTTTAATAATAAGTCTTCATTATTTTCTTGGAAGACAAAGACAACAACAAATTGGTAATCATTTCATAGAAGGCCTATGGGCTGCATAATACAAAGAAAAAGATAATCACCTCCCAATGCCTCTTTCCATCTATCCTAGAAACTCAGTGGTTTAAAAAAGAGTCTGCATTTATTCTTCCATGGAAGAAAAGTATTTGTGAATTCTGAAAACAGTCCTAACTAAAAAGCACTAAGTTTTTTTTCCATTTAAAAATGATTAATGATAAAAAAAAATACTGACTTATTAAAATCAGATTAAAAACCTTTTGGTGGGCAGGACTTCGGAAGAACAATAGAATATGTTTCTTGTCTAAAATTGATTTATAATGGGAAAACATTCACCTATTTATCTGGCAGAGTATCCCATATAAAACGAATTTTATCATTACTGAAATTTTTATTTGTAGTCTCATGTGAAGAGCAAAGATCAAAAAATAATACAAAAAAGAATGGTGGAGGGTTCATTTGGGAGAAGGAAGTTTCCTCAGGCCTAATACAGTTTTCTTGCTTTATGTAAAGTCCTAGGAAATAGATTTTCTTTGTTGGCACAGAGGGGAATATTTTTCTTGTTTTCCCCCAAATCTGAGTCCCCCAAAATCTGGGACTCCTTTGTCCTACTGTCTAATTTTTTTTTTTGGCCATCTAAAATGGTATTTAAATAGAACATCCCGTTGCTTTCTTACCTGGATGCCAAAAGCCTTAATACTATTTTTTTTTGGCCATGAATCTATGGAAAGTCTGTCAGGTAAACATTGGTATGAAGGGAGGGCAAGGAGAAGGATAGCATGAACACCATAACACAAAAGCACTGGGAAACTAATGATACTGGAAAAAGATTTACCAATAATGGGGTCTAGATCCTAGCATCTGGAAGTCTAATGGAAGAACAAATGTGTTAGGGCTGAGAAGAGCAAAAAGAAAGGCCAATCAGTTAAGAAGACCTATGACAGGGAGATCAGACTCCAACTTTCAAGGCTATAAGAATCCAGTGGTGATGGGAAATTTTCTATCACATACAGTAACTCGGACAAAAAAGAATTCCAGCAACTGTGTCTAGGGTTTCTCCGCACAAGCAGAACAGGGATAGAGGTGAAAAAGAGTTAGGTCAACTACTGTCTCTTTGAAATCAACCTCAACTTATAAAATATTTAAATAGGCTAACAACCCACATGTCCAACCTTAGCCATAGGAACATTTCCTAGGCATTGAAAAGTCCCCAATCAAAGCTAACACAAAATACCATACATTTATGCCCTAGCCAGATGTGAAAATTCTGTTCCCTTTCATATTGTAGCCTAAACAGATACCAGTGCTATTTCTAGTCTCTTATCTCATCCCACAAACCTCCCCTCACCTGTTATTGTTTGAAATTCCTTTACCTGTCATTCTATCATTATATTTAAAGTATTTAAAAATACAAACAGAATTTGAAGTAACACAATAATGCGAATTAGTTTTAGTCAAAGTGTAAATGATGATATGAGAAAGAATTTTTCCTAAGTAAAAGGTTTAGAAATTAGGAAATCACTGGGCATACCTCAAGGGCAAAAGGGAACAGAAAGAGCAGGCTAGACTCACCAAAGAAAAACTGCCTACGACAGGTAGGTAAAAATATACTATGTTAATATTTTCAATACAATAAATAAAAATAGTAAGTTATGGAACTCATTCTATAGATGAATATAAAAAAAGGGAACACTGACTTGAAGAGGGATCAAGGTACTTTTCTGAGGTTTTCTGGAAAAGCGAGCTCTGTAGAAACACCTTTTCCCCTCCACAAGAGATTTCTGGGAAAAGCCTTCAGTTAGTCTGGCCCACTTAGTGTGATAGCCATGCTCCAATATCCAACTCCTCCATTTGCCACACTTTTAATGGTGCTACTTTCATACATACCTACATGTCTCAAGCGGCTCTGCTCAACAATACTACGTCTATTTCACCTTCAAACTAGTTGCTGAATTTATCATAATCACTTTAAGTCCTCTGCTTCATGAGAAAGTATTTAAAAGAGTTCAAAGTGATGAAATATTGCATTCGACTAACAAGTGCTGTGTGTTTTAAAGAAAATCTATATGGGGGGGGGGAGAGCCAAGATGGCAGAGTAAAGGCAGGAACTTGCCTGAGCTCTCCCTGAAACTCCTCCAAATACCTTTAAAAATTTACTCTAAACAAATTCTACAGCAACAGAGCCCACAAAAAGACAGAGTGAAACAAATTTCTAGCCCAAGACAACCTGGAAAATCAGCAGGAAAGGTCTACTGCACCAAGCTGAGAGAGGAGCAGGGTACATCATAGGCTCCACCAGCACAGACCATGCCCCAGCAAACCCATAGCAGGCCTCAGGGGACTAAATCACTGCTCAGACCACAAACTCCAAAGACAATTTAGAAGATCAGTAGGAAAGGTCTGTTGGACCTGGGTGAGAGAGGAGGGAAGTCTAGCCGCAGACCAAACAAACCAGCAGCAGCCCTTGGGAGCAACTGAATCAGCAGTGGTGGTGGTAGCAGCAGCTGTTTTTGGAGCTCTCAGCCCATAGATGGTATGGGGATCAGACAACTGGTCAGAGGAGATTACAGGAGTCTCTTTGTTAGCACTGAGGCAGAACTCTGTTGCTTTGCCCATACTTAGATCTGGGTGGTAGTCCTGGGGTGAGGAGGACCACTCGTATAGCAGAGTTTGTGGCAGCAGTGAAGAGGGGACCCTCCTGACAGTTCCAGGGCAAAAAGAATGCTTGTGGTCACTCACAGATCACAGCAAAGGCCAGGAGAGGAGTAAACACCTCTCCTTTGATCATACCACCTTGGAAGAACTGAAAACTTACAGTACCCTAGAAGTAGGTCTGAAAACAACTGTACAAAACCCCTGAAGCTTGGGACAGTTCATCCTCCACACTGGAAGCACAGCCTACTTTAACAAAGAGTCAGAAAGTCAAGTAACTGGCTGGGAAGATGAACAAATAGAGGAAAAAGACTTAAGACTATAGAATCTTACTTTGGTGACAAGGAAGATCAAAACATACCATCCAAAAAAGACAACAAAATCAAAGCTCCTACATCCAAAGCCTCCAAGAAAAATATGAATTGGTCTCAGGCCATGGAAGAGCTCAAAAAGGATTTGAAAATCAAGTATGAGAAGTAGGGGAAAAACTGGGAAAAGAAATGAGAGTGATGAAAGAAAATCATGAAAAATGAAGTCAACAGTTTGGTAAAGGAGACAAAAAAAATTGAAGAAAATAACACTTTAAGAAATAAAGTAGACCAAATGGCAAAAGAGGTCCAAAAAGCTGATGAGGAGAAGAATGTGTTAAAAAGCAGAATTGGCCAAGTAGAAAAGGAGGTTCAAAAGCTCACTGAAGAAAATAATCCCTTAAAAATTAGATGGAGCAAATGGAAGTTAATGACTCTATGAGAAATCAAGAAATTATAAAACAAAACCAAAAGAACAAAAAAAAAAAGAAAGAAAGAAAACAATGTGAAATATCTCATTGGAAAAACAACTGACCTGGAAAATAGATCCAGGAGAGATAATTTAAAAATTATTGGACTACCTGAAAGCCATGATCAAAAAAAGAGCCTAGATATCATCTTTCAAGAAATTATCAAGGAAAACTGCCCTGATATTCTAGAACCAGAGGGTAAAATAAAAATTGAAAGAATCCACAGACCACCTCCTGAAAGAGATCCCAAAAGGAAAACTCCCAGGAATATTATAGCTGAATTAAAGAGTTGCCAGGTTAAGGAGAAAATATTGCAAGCAGCCAGAAAGAAACAATTCAAGTACTATGGAAACACAATCAGGATAACACAAGATTTAGCAGCTTCTACATTCCTATATGGAAAGATGATATTTGTAACTCATGAGACCTTTCTCATTATTAAGGTAGTTGGAGGGAATATATATAGACAGAGGAAACAGGGTAAGTTGAATAGGAAGGGATGATATCTAAAAAATAAAATTAAGGGGTGAGAGAGGAATATACTGGGAGAAGGAGAAAGAGAGGTAGAATGGGTAAATTATCTCATATAAAAGAGACAAGAAAAAACTTTTACAGTGCAGGCAAAGAGGGGGGAAGTGAGAGAGAATGAGTGAACCTTACTCTCATCAGAACTGGGTCAAAGAGGGAATAACATACATATTCAGTTGGATATGGAAATCTATCTTACCCTATAGGAAAGTAGGGGTAAAGGGGATAAGAGAGGGGGGATGATAGAAGGGAGGACAGATTGGGGGAGGGGATAATCATAAGCAAACACTTTTTGAGGAGGGACAGGGTGAAAGGACAGAATTAAATAAACAGGGGGCGAGATAAGATGGAGGGAAATATAGTTAATTTTTCACAACATGATTATTATGGAAGTGTTTTGCATGACTACACATGTGTAACCTATATCGAGTTGCTTGCCTTTTCAATCAGGGTGGGTAGGAAGGGAGGAGGGGAGAGAATTTGGAACTCAAAGTTTTAAAAATGAATGTTAAAAATTGTTTTTTACATGGACCTGGGGAAAAAATAAAATACCAAATTAAAAAAAAATAAAATATAAAAAAAAATCAATACTGGCAGAAACAAGGGTAAGTAGGAGAAGGGAAGAATTCATGTCAATATGTTAATTAAAAGTAAAATGATCCAAGCAGATACAAATCCAAAATGTCATACTTTTTTGTGTACAACTAATATGTACCTGAAAAACTATGTGTAAGCACAAGTGAAACTGAACAAACTTCTTTTTTGTAATAACACCAATTACCCTATTTTATAAATCTAAATTTTTATCTAATATTTTTCTGAAATAAGGTCCACTTCTACTTTATTTAATCACTTACCAATTCTTGTAACCTAAGAAAAGCAGGCAGTAGATTTGCTTCCATTTCCCTTAAATATTCTGCTTTATCCAGCACCTTACAAAAAAAAGGTAATAATTCTGAACAGAGTAAAAATCAACTTAAGTCAATCAACACTATGCAGCACAGTGACCTGATCTTTTCATTGTGATTTTTTGATACTAACTTTTAAGTTTTAAAAAAGAGAGAACTTATATATGTATAATAACAACATGGGGCAGCTAAGTGGTACAGTGGATAGAGTACTGGGCCTGGAGTCAGGAAGACTCCTCTTCATGAATTCAAATATGGCCTCAGATACTTTACTAACTGTATAACCCTAGAAAACTCAACTAATCCTGTTTGCCTCAGTTTCCTCATTTGTAAAATGAGCTGGAGAAGGAAATGGCAAACCACTCCAGTATCTTTGCTAAGAAAACTCCAAATGGCCTCCTGAAGAGTTGGCGTGACTGAAAAGATGGAAATAACAATAAAAAATAATAGTATGTAAGGAAAACTCTTCTCTTACTAAAATATCTAACAATGTACATTAATACAAATAAGACAGCAAATTGTGTGCCTAAAAATTTGGTCTATGCCATTATAACCAACAAAATTGGAATATTCCAAATTACCTGTTATTCAGCCTTTACATTACTTATTTTACTCATAAGCTTATTTTATCAGATTTTTTTTAAATTAAGCACTCTTCATTTGAACTTTTGACTTTTTTTTCTTCTTTTACTGAATATGAAACCTGCATGATTTTTATCTATTAATTCTATACTCTCAATTTTATACATTTTCAATATTGGTTATCAAACTAATTTTTCCTAAAGATCTTGTCATTTAAAATAAGCTTTTAAAATACCTTTCTAACCCTTCACGTTTGATCACTCCTATATTTCTTACTATCTTTAGACTTTTATTCCACATGTAAAGACAAAAGCACAGAACAATTGGGATTTCACACTGCTGTAATTCAGTTTAAATAACTTGAGATATTAAAAGAACAAGAGGAAAGCCTCAGAACTACGAGGGTCATCTATACAGGATTTATAGGAGAACGTGGAAGAGAATCACAGAGGATGGGAAGGTATGGTAGAAAAGACACCTACTAGGATCCTAAAGTCAGACAAGCTATCCTCAAAGAACCAATTGGTCTAGGGAACCAGGGCTTGTACCACTGAAACCCTGGGGCACAGGCCAACACACCAAAAGTCAATGGCCCTCAGATGTCCACTGTTCTCAAGTTACTACAACTATCTGCTTGGATGTTTCCACATGAAAATAAAAGGGATGGAGTCCACTTGAACCATTTCTGCATACTTGCAAAGTCTCCTTTCTCTGCTTTTGTTAAGTAAACTTCTTTTCCATTAAGTGTTGGCTAGCCTCCAAATGCCTCATTTTCTTCCAGTCTAAGTCTGAGCCACTAGACCAGTGTAGGTCATGCATACTTTACAACAAAGAGGTTAGGATCTCTATTAGTGGAGGGAAGAATCTGCCCAGGGAGGGAGGGAAGACAAGATGGGGACAGTACAAAATGAGACAGTAGAAAAGGGCAAGGAAAGAAGTTATCTGGTTCCCCAGCCCATAGCAGTTTAGAACCAGCAAACCAGAAGGAAGGTGGGGAAATATTAGAGGGAAATATTAAATGACAGCAAGGAGTAAGAGAGGAAAAATGAAAAAGTAGGAATAATGTAAAAATGGATATTCAAGTCACTGAAATGATATTACATTCAGTATCCTCTACTTAAGCACTATATCTTTAAAATATTTCTATCAAAATAGTTAAGTCATTTTAGGTGCTTAGAGAAAAGTTTTAATTATCTTGAAAACAAATTTAAGGGCATCTATATCTCCCAATAATGTTAGATAAATGGGGTGTTATTGTATATGTCCTTTAGTGTGCATATGTGTAGTTCTTCATATATGAATACCCATATAATGTCAGTAAAATATTCAAAAAGTACTTGATATCACATGCATGATTTCTCTTTTCAGTAATGAAAATTAAATGGACTGATAGAGGCATTTTTCATGTAACCATGAGCCCTTATAAGGAAAAAGATTATTTGGAATTCAGTTCTCTATGTTAATTATCTTATTCAGAGACTAAACTTGCAACTTTAGTTTCATTAGCATCATATTATAATCTTTGTATTAAAAGGATCAAGTTTATGATAAGGCAACAGAACATAAAATTTGTAATAAACACCCAGATACCTTTTAATTCTAGTATAGATTTAGAACTAGGAGGGGCCTCAAAGACTTTAACCTCAAAGACACAAACTTTACAGAACAAATCCCCTTAATAAAAGGATTTGTTCTATAAAACTTGGACTCAGTCCAAAGGCCACACCAAAGGACCTACAAGGCCACATATGGCCTTGAGGCTGCAGATTCCCCACCCCTGATCTAGTCCAAGCCTCTCTTTACAGGTGAAGAAACAAGCCCAGAGAGTTTAAGTGACTTGACCAAGGTCACAAAGAGATAGGATTTGAACTCATGTTCTGCCTCTTCAATCAGTGTTCTTACTATGTTACCTCTCATATACTTACAAAGATCTATAATCTCATAGGTTTAGGCACTTCCTCCATTATTCATCAATCTACCCTTTTAAGGCTTCACTCTTTACCTCTAGAACTTTCCAAACTAAAATGCCCCTTTCCTGGCCACCAGACTGGTGGCAGCAGAGAAAGAAGGGGTTTGAGAGGTTGCAAAAGTAACACTGACAGGCCGTGGCAAGAGATTGACTATGGGGGTGAGGGGTGTGTGTGTGTGTGTGTGTGTGTGTGTAAGACACACATGCACGTGCATATAGTGAGGAAACAAGGATCCCACCTTAGGATGTAAGCCTAAGAAGAACAGAAGGATGGTACTACCCTAGACAATAACAAAGAATTTAGAAAGAGGAGAGGGTTTGTCTATAAATATGTAGATATTGAGAGATCCATAGAGAAGCATACATATAACTTATAAATCCATATAGAAGTATACATAAAATCAATGTGGAACACTAAGAATATAATAACATATAATATAATAATATAATATAATATATCATAATATATAATATATAATACAATAATATAATAAATGGGTCATTTAAAAAAAAGAACATAGTTAAATTACTTACAATATATACAGTCTGATCATCCACACCCTGATCTTGAGTTACTTTCTTAAACAAACGAACAAAATCATTAAACGAATCACAAGCTATATAAGAAGTACATTCATCTTTTGAAGAATTGAGACAATTTAACTGGTTTAAAATGTGCTCCAACAGTATCCTTGAGGTAAAACATTCAACACAGTTCACAATAACATGAGGAAGCTAAAAAAGAAAAAAAGTAAAAAACTTGACAATTTGACTTTTTTTCCCCTAAAAGCTATTATAAAACCAACCATCAGTCTTATTTAACAACCTGTATGGTTGTTGAAACACCCAATTTCTTAAAACAAATATAATTTTAATAACTTGGGACCAAGGGAAAGCTTGAGTTCTAGTCCCAGGTTTGACACCAATTTGCAGTGTGGCCTTGGGTAAGTCACTTCATTAAATAAAATGTCTTATTTGTAAAATGAGGAGTTTGAGCTAGATGGTCTCCATTATCTCTTCCTGTTCTAACATTCTGTGATTCTAAAAAGCAACAGACCACATATCATAGGTTTGAAAATAAACACGAGAAGCGTAAATGGGTAGTTTCAGAGAACAAGTGATAAAAAGTACCATCCTTGTAGGCAGGTGAAGAAAACACTCACTGATGTGGAGTTGTGTACAGGAGGCTACTGTCTGTCACCTGGTTTTGCTTAATTCTAGTGGGGGGAGGGTGGAAGTTATCTGGAAATGACTTTTTTTTAAAATAAGAAAAAGATATAATAAAATTTAATCAAAAGGTAGACTGTTGTATTCTAACCTTTCCAAATATAATTCAACATCTTAAGCATCTGCTATTTCAGGATTTGTTTTACCTAACAGATCAGAACCCTCCAAATTTAGTGGGCACTCTGAAAGAGCTGCTGTGGCTAAAAAAATGCAGGATCCTATGGCCAAACTCATAAGCCTCCCCGAATTAGGCCTTAGAGGACAGGTAAATAATCCTTTGCTGAACTAAACTTAAAGTTTTTCCAGTTTGGTTAGACCTTCCAAAGCTTGCAATCTTCTGGCATAGATTTCCTCTATGCTACTGTAAGGTATCAAACGGTAGGACTTCAGGGGAGAATTCTAAATATAAATTCAGGAATACTTATAAAAATATAAACTAAAAACAACAATTTATATTAGTATTTTATGAAAAGCAACAGATATGATAAACTATAAATGATGAATATTAATTATTTAAAGGTAAAGACTTTGGAAAGGAAAAAATAAAACAAACCAAAAAATGCAAAAGTACTCCAATCAGAAAAAAGGGCAGGATTTAGAAGATTGAGATAGCTGAACTTAATACATTTTATACTTCAAACATTTTCAATTCTCCTACCTATTCTATTAATCAGGCTTTTAGAAATTCACTTTTTAGCTAGAAACAGCCAACCTTATGAATACTAATCACATTAGGGACCTGTGACATGAATAATTACCATGCAAATGATCTGTTATTTTGTTAAGTAAGGAAATTCCCTAGACCAGGGCTTCTTAAACTTTTCCCCCTTGCAACTCCTTCAGCACTTCTTAAACTATGGAGTTTAAGAAGTGCTGCTCTAGACCACTACAGACCAAAACCAAGGAACATAGAGGTTAAATGATTTGCCAAAGGTCACACAGTCACTAGGTATCAGAAGTAGCAGTTGAATCCTTATCTTTTTTACTCCAAACCCAGAGCTTGATCCACTGTGACAAACTGCCTTTGTAGATCACCAGATATTTAAGTTATACAAATTCACTATTTTCAAAGATAGTTTTGATACCTTTAAACTAATTTTGTATTACATAATTAGAATTTAAAAGGGAAATTTTAATAGTTTAATTTTTATTTCAGACAATTCACACTATATTAGCATTATAGAACATAGAAACCCAATGGTTACATAGTTATTCATATTTGAATTTTCCTGTATATTTTAGATAGTCTCCTTAGAATATATAAAATGAAGTATCTGGAAATGGCATTTTCAGACACAAGCCTAATAAGATCTATTTTAAAATTCTTATATTGAATGAGCAATGATGTTTCCTCAGTTTAATAAGAAAGTAACCACATAGCTGCATTCTCTACATGTACTTCAAGAAGTGCTAGGTTATAAATATAACCTGCAGGTATCAATTACTTTTCAATATTCATAAAGAATCATTAGCACTTGAGGCACCAGCCTTATAATAACTTCTCAGTCTTTTGCAGCCAGGCTACTTCCTCCTAGGAATGAGATAGTTATAGGAAAAACTCTCTGCTTTTGGAAATAGAAGGCAACAATGAAAGGATTATATTGTTATTTACATAGCGCTACCAATTTCATAAATGCTCAAAGTGATACTTTCTCATAACAGCAGTAGACAGTAATGGGATGTTGCCTACTTTCCAAAGCCTTCTATAGATTTTAACCTACAATGATTCTATTTACACATTTTGTTGCTAACACGTTCTAAGGTAGATTCAGTGAAGGTACTGGAATATGTTCCTGCCTCTGGAAAAAGTCACAACATCAAATCTACTACAATAGTGTTTATTAAGTTATTAATCTAGTTACTGGAGTGGTTATAACACAAAATTTTCAGTTCTAACACCAAATATAGGTTATATTTGTTCAGTTGTTTTCAAACCAAATCAGTAGTTATGTTTAGTATTTCTAACATTATTTCCTACAAGGTGTATTTTCTCCCCTTAAATCAATTTACAATGAGTTTAATATTACTCTTACCTCTGAAGTTTTCAACAAAGTTTCCATGACATAGGTCTTTCCACTAGCTGTATGTCCATAAATAAAGATGGATGGGAAGCTAAAATGATGACGCTAAGGCAGAAAAGCAGTGATCAATTTACATTTACAAAATTTACAAATACACTGAACTTCAACTTTACCAAACTTTTCATTAAGCTTATTTTTTCATCAATCCAAAACACTGCAACAGAGCAAATGCATTGTTGCTGAATAAAAATGTTTACAAGACTAGGAGGGATTTTAAGAAGGTACTAGGTCCAAGGACCCATCCAAGGAAAAGACTCCTAGTTGGCCCAGGAGCTTACTAAAGCAAGTCAGTGACTAAATTTGTCTCTATTATTCAAGTCAACAATTTTTAAAAATGTCTATGTGCTCCTCTTACAGTTTATGGAAGCAGCAGTTGCTCAGGGGGAAAAAAGTATTTTCAGAGATTTCTGCTCATTCAATCAACACTATAAATATTCTTCCAGTGAGAAACTGGCAGCTAGAATATCTTTGTTATTATCATTATGATCATGATCATCAATAAATATTTAATGAAAGTCACCTAGTTGTCAAATCAAAAACATCTCCCGGGATAGGTTACCCTACATCTCGGCTGAAATGAAAAGAAGCTAGCTTTTTGCTATTCAATCCTTTCAGTCACATCCGATTCTTTGTGACCTCATTTGGGGTTTTCTTGGCAAAGTTAATGAAGTAGTTTGCTATTTCCTTCTCCAGCTCATATTAGAGATGAAGAAACTGAGGCAAACAGAGTTAAGGGACTTGCCCAGGGTCATATAGCTAGTATTTGAGACCAGATTTGAACTCAAGAAGATGAGTAAAGGTACCCTTTATAGTAAACTACATGTGCTAATTATTAGAGCAATAACATAATCAAGACAACTGCTTAAACATTAAAATTTCACATCATCAATTGATTTTCAACAAAATGAAAGCCATATGGTATATTTCAATACACATGTGGTTCTAAATACATATAAGGATGTGCACTGAATATTTAAGGATTTTAAAGTAGAACCAATAATGCGCTCATACTGAGCAGCTCCTTCACATTCAAATTGTACCTGCTTCTTAAGGCCCCAATCATAGCAGAATAGATTGAGCTCCTTCTCTGAAACCCTAGAGCACTTACTGTTTGCATAATTAATTTGGCATAATTATATATTACCTTGTAGTACTGCAATGGAGCCACGATTTCAATTCATCAAGTCAAGTTGATTCAACAAACATAAAATAAAGCATCTATTATGTTCAAGACAAGGTTAAGCCAAAATAAAAATCACTGCCCTCAAGGAGCTTACTGAGGAATACAAGATATATAACATTAAGTATACTTAAGATAATTTGAGAAAGATCCCACTAATAACTAGGGTGATCAGAAGGGGTTCCTTAGGGAAGTTGGCACCTGAGCTGAACTTAGAAAGATATTAAATAGCCTAAGATTCACAGGTGAAGAGGACATGCACTCACAGCATATTGGATAGCTTGTGCAAAGAACTAGAGATGGGAAATGAAATGCTGATTGTGAGAAATATCAAGGACCATAACATGTGAGAAAGGGAAGTGATATATAAAGAGGCTATCCAAGATAATTTATTCTAAAGAAGCACAGTAAAACCTTCTCAAAACTGATCTACCATGCCGTATCTTGACTAAACAGTAAAATATGGCTGGCTAACTTTGGCACCGACCTCAATTCAGTCAGTTCACTTTCCCAGGCCTTATGTCTCCTGGGTCTGTCTAGTCACATGTTGCCACACTAAACTACTCTGCCTCTTATTTTTCTTCTGTTCTCATCCTCTGTTAAGGAAGAAAGGCATGTCCGGGTCACTATTAGTTGAAATGGTGACAGGATTATCAAATATTTATTATATATAACTTTACTATCCACTTTTCATGTAATCAATTAGTATCCTAGTTGAATAAGAACCATAGACACATCTGAGCAGCAGAACATGAACTCCTTAAGGGCAGGGACCTTTCCAGGGGTTTTTGTTTTCTTTTGTCTACATCCTTGTGAACCAGGACTTCTTAACTCCTAAGCCAAAAAACTGGTATCCTTTAAGTTCCAACTAAAATCCCGCCTTCTCCAGCAAGTCTTCCCTAATCTCTCTTAATTCCAGTGCTTTCCCTCTTTTAATTACACTTAGCACAGTGCCTGGCACATACTTAATGTTTACTGAATGAATGAATTCTATCCACTTTGATAAGCTGCTCCTTACAAGTATCCTGCCTCTGCTGTATTTTAGCTCTGTGATCCTGGGCAAACCAGAATACATCTATAGGATGGTGGTAATCAGGATAACAAGATGATTACTGCATGAGGAAAAGTTAAAGAAAACAGACATGTCTAGACTAGAGAAAAGAAGATAGGATGGTGATCCACAAAATTCTGAAAGGCTGCCATGCAGAAGAGTGACCAGACTTATTCTGTGTGGCTCCACAGAGCAGATCTTGGACTGAAGGGTGGACATTAAAAAGAGGAAAACTTTGTTTCAATACAAGGAAGAACAATTAGACATATTACAAAACAGAATGGCCTATCTTGTGATACAGTGAAGTCCCCATCAGCAGATGTTTAACTGAATGTCAGAGATGAAAGGGTACCTTGAGGAATCACCTAAATAGAACTCCATTTTTGCAACTAAGGAAACAGAAGGCCCAAAATGCTAAATGACCAGTGTCATACATATTAGTAGAACAGCTGGGGCTGAAACCCCCCTCTCCTTGGCTTTCAATTCTTTCCACTATACTTAATTGGTATTGAGAGACTGTATCAGATGCTGTATAGAGGAAACTGCGTATACTGGGCCTCTAAGTGTCCCTTTCAAATATGACGTTCTATGAACCAAGTAAGATAACCACATTTTGAGTAACAACAATAAAACTATAAGCAGAAAACTATCTGAGAAATCAGTATGTCTCACTTTGCATTCTTCACCAAGATTTGCTGGGGTTGGGTGTGACGGGGTAGTGGTGGTGGTGGGATGTTTCCAAAGTCCCTAAGAGTCTTCCCCTGGCCAATGGGCCTTCCGCCTAACTGTTCTGGTAGCAAATGGCTAGGTATTTCATAGAGCAAGCTTCTGGGTTCCTATGCTTGGAGCACAACTTCCGTTTCCTCAGGTTTAATACCACCTCACAGAAACATGAATAAGCAAATATACACCACCTCACAAACACAACCATTACACAGATCATGTTTACTGGGCAAGTTGTTTTGTGCTACACCCCCACAAATGAGCTCAACTTTTCAGAGATTCTTGATAATGATAAATTGTAACCAGAGCTTCCAGCCAAGACCCCCATTCATCAAAGTGCTTTACTGAACTGCTGTTCCCTGCAGGCTTTTCACTTTAGGATACCGGCTAAAAGTCAAGGCTTCTAAAAGTTCTACAAATAAAATTTCCACAAGGCCTACTTCCTTAACCTAGCCTAACTATGGCAAGATCCCCCCAGAATCTCTGTATGATTGTTCAGTTTGGGAAGCCTGTGGGCGTGGGGGTGAAGGAGAGAGAGAAGAAAATAGGAGCACCATTTATACCAGCACTTTAAGGTTTGAAAAGCTCTCTGCGTGCCATCTCATTGGACCCTCACGGTGACCCTGTGACGTAGCTGCTACTGATACCCCTATTTTAATAGATGAGGAAACTGAGGCTGCGAGGTTAAGCGACAGGGTCAGGGTTACAAAGCTGGTAAACGTCTTAGGCAGGATTCGAACTCGGGTCTTCCTGACTCTAAGTCCAGCGCTCTATTCATTCCGCCAACTAAAAAGGCAAAAGAAACGTCTGAAAATCAAAGTGGAATGAATAATACCTCTCCAAACAAGGCCATCAAAGTAGACACTTGGGATTCGCGACAAAGCACCACGTTCTCCAAAGGAAGCATTGCCGCCGGGGGTGACGATAAGCCAGGGGCGGTCAGAAAAGAGCAATAGCCAGTTGTGAGGGCTTTTAACGGGCTCCCCAAAAGCCCGCGACACAGACCCCAAAGCTTAGCGCCTTCGCAGCACCCGCTCGTCACTTAAAAAGCCCCGGGCCAACCTCCAGGCTTCAGTAGCCTCTACGGCCTGACGCCAGCACGTCGGCGTCGTGGCGTCACCGCGCCGACGGCGCCGTCCTACGTCCTTATGGAGGGCGCGCGGGGCGGGCCCCCCTCAGACTCCGCCCGCTACGGTTTTTGAGGGACTGTTGGTCTGTATTTTGTGGGGCTCTCCGTTTTCTCCTCCTAAGACTGAGAGAAGGAGGAGGCAGGGAGGGGAGGAGAGAAAAGGGAGAGGTCCAGGATCCTCCCCTGGTCCTCTAGGGGCTGGACGGGAAGAGAGCGAAGCGGGCCTCGTGGGCACATCCCTTAGGTAGGCCTCGGCCCCAAACTTCACTGAAAGGGCAGCCTCAGGTTCCTCCCCCTCCCCCACGCCCGCTGCCTCCTTGGCGAAAAGAGGCGGGGGCGGGAATCCTGCCGGGTGGAACTGAGGTTTGGGATTTTTAAAGAACTAGTAAAGGTTTGTTGTGTGTTGTACATCTGCCCCGGGAATATAGAGTAATGACCCCGGCTTCTGTGAAGTCCTGGATTCCTGTTCAAGGAACGGGGAAGGGCTAGTTTAAATACACACGTACACGTTAATATAAATTATATGCACATATAAATAAAATTACTTATACATGGGTGTACACATATATGCATATATACCCAGTACGTTTATGTATATGTATATATACTGCGCATATGTGGGTACACACACACACCACAAGGTGTGAATGCATGCCCATTATCCTGAAGAGCTAGTAAATTATATATAAAATTTGTGTGTGTGTGTGTGTGTGCGTGTAGCACAGTGCCTGGCATATATTTAGCACTTAAATGCATGTTTCGTATATTTTAAAATTTAATTTTATTATTTTCCCAATTAGGTCAGTACACAAACAATACAGCCTTAGCATGTACCTGGCACTGTTCTTAGAGCAGGTGATACAAAGGAAGGTGGTCTCTACCCTCAAGGAGCTCACATTTGAATGAGGGAAAAAACAGGCAAAAAACTATCTAGATAATGGTAGTGTGAACGGGACTTTACTAAGCCAGTCTCTAAGCTGAGAATGAGGAAATAGAACGCCTGAGACAAAGCGCTGGTAATCAGGTGGCCCTTTAATGAATTAGTTTCTTTATGAGGAACAGATTTGCAAATCAAGAATTCTCCCAATCAGAACTCCACCTGGCTCAAGTGAAGACCCAGATTACCTTACATAAATCACAATGGAAAGGGAGAGGGAGGAAGGTGGATTACAAACAATCTTTTCCCTGGCTTGAGTGGTTTCCTGTGAGGAGCCCACTAGTGGAAGAAAATACAATAATTCTGGAGTCCTTTGGGAGCAATATTGCTCAAGTCTTTGGGGGTCATTACTTGGTGGCTCACAAGACCAGAGTTCTCTGATGGGAGCACATCTACAATCTTTGATTTACTTCACTTAAGGTACACCGGCACAAGAATGCCAGTGATGTGAGCATTGTCCAGGTTTGATCATTTCAAGCTGCATTGTGAGCTTCTGATTCATGAGCTAGAAAAAACTAATCTGAAAAAATTGAATCTGTATATTCAGATACATACATACATATATATATATATACATATATATATGTATGTATGTATCTGAATATACACAGTTTGTATATTCATTACACAAATATCAATGTGAAAATCAATTCCATTCACATTAGGTAAATACAGGGGGAAAGCAATAGTAGCTTGGAGAGAAGGTGACTTGTAGAAGGTAGGTGGGATTTGAGCTTGATGGAACACAAGGAAGCCAATACTGTAGTGGATGGTGAGGAAAGAGAACATTCTAGGCATGGGGGAAACCACTAGTGAAAAAGGTAGGGCATTAATTTTCTCCCCTCTATCCATGTCCAGTTACATGGCCGAAAATTTTAAGAAGCAAAAAAACCCAACCCTTGTCACGTATCCATAGTCTAGCAATGCAGATTGTCTCATTGGCCAGAAATACCGCTCATTCTTCATTTGAGCCCATCATTTCTCTGCCAAGAGGTAGATAGCTTACTAGGGCTGGTAAGATACCAATTTTATGGATCAAGGTGAAAAAAGTTTTTGGCATAATTTGTAAAAGACTAGCAGTAGTTCAGAGGAATCAAATTTGACCATAGATCATATTTGACCAAATTTGACCATTAAGTGACTTAGCTTCACAGCTTGCCTGTAACAGATTGTGTGACCCAGGGTAAATCACTGAGCCTTAGCTTCTCTGTCTGTAAAATGGAAGTGATAGCACCTACCTCCCAGGGGTGTGATGGGAATTGAGAATATATAGAAAGCTTTCTGCAATCCTTGTTTTGATTTGGACATGATATCACACAGAAATGCAGTGTCCCTATAGAAATCTTCTTTCAATAATTCACATTGCTGATTCTGTTCTTCGTAAAATTTAACTATCTGTTCTCACAGAGATAAAATTTTGGCTAACCCTGTCCCTGAGATAGCCAATGCCCTTTAGAATGGTACAGCAAATCCATACTGAATACCTCATTGTTCAACTTTAGCGTGTTATGGAACTGATGATGCCGTGTTGCCTTTGTATGAATATGGTCTACTATACTTATAACTTGTTGCAAAGTGACGCTTAAAATAGTAGCTTTAGCACAGAGATTTTGCAAGATACAATGTTCTTTACATTAAAGAAATGAGAGCATCTGGATCTGTTAATACTTTCTTAAATCTGTGCAATAAACTCTTCATGTTTTCCTGTCAGTAGGTGCACTGTCTGTACATACACTCACTCAGTTTACCAAATTCAGTCCATCTTCACCACATTTATCTTGAAAGTTGTTGAAGATATCTGTTCCCTGTGTTCTGTTCGCAAGAGTGCCCAAAGCGAGTAACTCTTAATAGCAAAGAAAATCTTCTGTTATAACCTGAATGAAGTATAAAACCTGTGCCAAGTCAGTAGCTGATTCATCCAAAGCAATTGAATAATATAAATTTTCCTCTTGAAGTGTTGCATCAAGTTGTTAAGTTGAAGGTTAATTGATGCTGCTGATCAGCTATGGTTCTTGGAAGAGGCAGTTGTTTGTGTTTGAAACGTTATCAGGATCTAAGCATCCTACAGCTTCAACAATGCAATCTTTCACGATTTCTGCATCAGTGAATGGCTTCCCTTTTTTCCTGAATATATAAGCTACTTTATAAATTGCTTCAGTGGCATTATTTCCTGGTCTTATTTCTGCTTGAAAGAATTGTCTTTACTTTTGCTTTTCATCTTTTAATTTCTGTAATACAAGCTTTCATACCTCTCCCTCTAATTTAAAATATTTGTGGTTCTTATGAGTGTTATAATGCTGATGCACTTTGAATGTCTTTAATGTTGATATTTCAGTACCACAAAGCATGCAAATCATCTTATCTTTAGCAGAAACAAGATAATATTGCAATTCTCAATCCTCATTAAAAAATCTATTTTCCTTCAACGTTGTCTTGGTCTTCTTTAACATGATGGGCTGTTAATCAGACAATTAAAAAAATATTGTTGAGCTGTGCAACTATTCACAAATTCCACTTCCAGCAGAAATACAGTACACTGTTGTCACAAGCTGATAACAGACTGGCATACTTGACCCCCATAAGCTCTCACCAACCAACCTTATGCAGTAATGGCTCCACAGTCAGGCAGGGGAAGTTAGAACTAAAGAAAGAGCATAGCAGCCGTCAATTTAGCCCCTATGGCTTTCTAATGTTCTAATTGTATTGGTCAATCTGGGAGGATTATTTCATTGAAACTTTTTTTATTCTTTGGTATTTTAAATACATTCATTTTAAAAATAAAATTAAAAATATAAAAGATGAACAAAAATGTATTAATTAAAAGGATTTGTTTCTGTAAAATTTGGATTCAGTCAAAAGACTGCACTTGAGGACCTAGAAGGTCGCATGTGGCCTTAAGGCTGCAGGTTCCCCACCCCTGCAGTATGCTCTCTAAAATCTGATCTAAAACTTATACTCTTACATCCTCAGACTTTTCAATTAATTTTTCTTCTTTCCACCTCCTAGCTTAACAGGAAGCTTTTCAGATATTTATTTTTACTTTGCAAAGTAATTATGTGAGAAATGTAATTTTAGTTACTTTAAAATTTTTGCAGCTTTGAAATAAACACCCAATTTAGTTTTATTATAGAATTATTCCCTGAAAACCTGACGTGCAGCCTTTTCTACTAGAGTCATCCATTACAAATCTCTTACCTCTAATTTCTGATCCTATTTAGAGTGGATAATTTAGCACTTAAATAACCTAGTCTCATGTCACTGAGAACCTTTACAGCAACTTATTTGAGTTTCCTCTGTACCACTCCTCCACCCCTAGAACTTAGAGTCCTTATCCACTCTCTTACCCATCTTTTTCTTAACAAGAAGCATTCTTACTTTAAGGAATCTTAATACTTAGGAACCGTTCTCACCTTTAGGACATTTCACTTACAGTTATTCATTATTTCCTTTATTTCTTTAATCTTTGCTGTTAGATCTGTTTCTTTTTTAAAAAAATCATCTACATATGCAGTTGACATCCAAATCTGTATCTTTTACCCTGCCCACCTTCTGAACTTCCAACCTGCTGTCTAGGCACTTTCATGACACCTTCATCTGGATGCCTTATTGACATCCTAAACAACAGGAAAAGCTTCCTGTCTAAACAAGCTTGTTTTCCAAAAAATCTGTATGTCGTTTTATTTCACCATTTCTATCTGTAGTACCACTTTTCACCATGTTTCCTGTGTTCACAATTTTGGAATTACCTTTGACTCTTTCATTTCCCTTACCTTTCATATCCATTTAGTTACTAAGTCCTGCCCATTTCACCTCTATAGCATTTTTTGCCCTCATCTCCTCTTCATTCCCTCTATTATCACCTATCTGGACTATTGTCATAGCTTCCTACTAGGTTTTCCTGCTTCTTTTCTCTTCTAATTCATGCTTCATTTAATTTAGAATAATTCTTCTTTTGCATACATCAGCTCCAAAAATCTTCAGCAGCACTGTATTTCTGAATGAAGTTAAAAGATTTTTGCTTGGC